TTCTTTGACGCTATTTTTAGGTAAAATGAACGCTTTTTTTAGGCAAAATAAGTGCTAGGACAATATGATTATTCTCTCTCTCATGGATTCTTTGACGCTATATTTAGGTAAAATGAACGCTTTTTTTAGGCAAAATAAGTGCTAGGACAATATGATTATTCTCTCTCTCATGGATTCTTTGACGCTATTTTTAGGTAAAATGAACGCTTTTTTTAGGCAAAATAAGTGCTAGGACAATATGATTATTCTCTCTCTCATGGATTCTTTGACGCTATATTTAGGTAAAATGAACGCTTTTTCTAGGCAAAATAAGTGCTAGGACAATATGATTATTCTCTCTCTCATGGATTCTTTGACGCTATTTTTAGGTAAAATGAACGCTTTTTTTAGGCAAAATAAGTGCTAGGACAATATGATTATTCTCTCTCTCATGGATTCTTTGACGCTATTTTTAGGTAAAATGAACGCTTTTTCTAGGCAAAATAAGTGCTAGGACAATATGATTATTCTCTCTCTCATGGATTCTTTGACGCTATTTTTAAGTAAAATGAACGCTTTTTTTAGGCAAAATAAGTGCTAGGACAATATGATTATTCTCTCTCTCATGGATTCTTTGACGCTATTTTTAGGTAAAATGAACGCTTTTTTTAGGCAAAATAAGTGCTAGGACAATATGATTATTCTCTCTCTCATGGATTCTTTGACGCTATTTTTAGGTAAAATGACCGCTTTTTTTAGGCAAAATAAGTGCTAGGACAATATGATTATTCTCTCTCTCATGGATTCTTTGACGCTATATTTAGGTAAAATGAACGCTTTTTTTAGGCAAAATAAGTGCTAGGACAATATGATTATTCTCTCTCTCATGGATTCTTTGACGCTATATTTAGGTAAAATGAACGCTTTTTTTAGGCAAAATAAGTGCTAGGACAATATGATTATTCTCTCTCTCATGGATTCTTTGACGCTATTTTTAGGTAAAATGAACGCTTTTTTTAGGCAAAATAAGTGCTAGGACAATATGATTATTCTCTCTCTCATGGATTCTTTGACGCTATATTTAGGTAAAATGAACGCTTTTTCTAGGCAAAATAAGTGCTAGGACAATATGATTATTCTCTCTCTCATGGATTCTTTGACGCTATTTTTAGGTAAAATGAACGCTTTTTTTAGGCAAAATAAGTGCTAGGACAATATGATTATTCTCTCTCTCATGGATTCTTTGACGCTATTTTTAGGTAAAATGAACGCTTTTTTTAGGCAAAATAAGTGCTAGGACAATATGATTATTCTCTCTCTCATGGATTCTTTGACGCTATTTTTAGGTAAAATGAACGCTTTTTTTAGGCAAAATAAGTGCTAGGACAATATGATTATTCTCTCTCTCATGGATTCTTTGACGCTATTTTTAGGTAAAATGAACGCTTTTTTTAGGCAAAATAAGTGCTAGGACAATATGATTATTCTCTCTCTCATGGATTCTTTGACGCTATATTTAGGTAAAATGAACGCTTTTTCTAGGCAAAATAAGTGCTAGGACAATATGATTATTCTCTCTCTCATGGATTCTTTGACGCTATTTTTAGGTAAAATGAACGCTTTTTTTAGGCAAAATAAGTGCTAGGACAATATGATTATTCTCTCTCTCATGGATTCTTTGACGCTATTTTTAGGTAAAATGAACGCTTTTTTTAGGCAAAATAAGTGCTAGGACAATATGATTATTCTCTCTCTCATGGATTCTTTGACGCTATTTTTAGGTAAAATGAACGCTTTTTTTAGGCAAAATAAGTGCTAGGACAATATGATTATTCTCTCTCTCATGGATTCTTTGACGCTATATTTAGGTAAAATGAACGCTTTTTCTAGGCAAAATAAGTGCTAGGACAATATGATTATTCTCTCTCTCATGGATTCTTTGACGCTATTTTTAGGTAAAATGAACGCTTTTTTTAGGCAAAATAAGTGCTAGGACAATATGATTATTCTCTCTCTCATGGATTCTTTGACGCTATTTTTAGGTAAAATGAACGCTTTTTTTAGGCAAAATAAGTGCTAGGACAATATGATTATTCTCTCTCTCATGGATTCTTTGACGCTATATTTAGGTAAAATGAACGCTTTTTCTAGGCAAAATAAGTGCTAGGACAATATGATTATTCTCTCTCTCATGGATTCTTTGACGCTATTTTTAGGTAAAATGAACGCTTTTTTTAGGCAAAATAAGTGCTAGGACAATATGATTATTCTCTCTCTCATGGATTCTTTGACGCTATATTTAGGTAAAATGAACGCTTTTTCTAGGCAAAATAAGTGCTAGGACAATATGATTATTCTCTCTCTCATGGATTCTTTGACGCTATTTTTAGGTAAAATGAACGCTTTTTTTAGGCAAAATAAGTGCTAGGACAATATGATTATTCTCTCTCTCATGGATTCTTTGACGCTATTTTTAAGTAAAATGAACGCTTTTTTTAGGCAAAATAAGTGCTAGGACAATATGATTATTCTCTCTCTCATGGATTCTTTGACGCTATTTTTAGGTAAAATGAACGCTTTTTTTAGGCAAAATAAGTGCTAGGACAATATGATTATTCTCTCTCTCATGGATTCTTTGACGCTATTTTTAGGTAAAATGAACGCTTTTTTTAGGCAAAATAAGTGCTAGGACAATATGATTATTCTCTCTCTCATGGATTCTTTGACGCTATTTTTAGGTAAAATGAACGCTTTTTTTAGGCAAAATAAGTGCTAGGACAATATGATTATTCTCTCTCTCATGGATTCTTTGACGCTATTTTTAGGTAAAATGAACGTTTTTTTTAGGCAAAATAAGTGCTAGGACAATATGATTATTCTCTCTCTCATGGATTCTTTGACGCTATTTTGAGGTAAAATGAACGCTTTTTTTAGGCAAAATAAGTGCTAGGACAATATGATTATTCTCTCTCTCATGGATTCTTTGACGCTATTTTTAGGTAAAATGAACGCTTTTTTTAGGCAAAATAAGTGCTAGGACAATATGATTATTCTCTCTCTTTTTGTCGCGTCATGATTTACTGCCAGCGTCATTCTTCCATTGTTGTATTGATTTTACCATTTCCCCAGCGTCGAATGATTCTTCTGTAATATATTTTTAGGACGGGTTTGCAACGAATGGGGGCAGTTGTCAAGTTTTTGTCGTGTTCCTTTTATTTTTTTCCTTCAGTGTTTATCAAGTTTTTTGTTCATGCCCTCCCTATCATAATAGTCATGTAGGGACTGATAGTATTTTGAAATGAAATAATAAATAAAATGTAGTCAGCAAAATCCTCTAACAAGAGAGTTGTGTTTTTTTGCTGCCTAAAGCCATACTGGCAGCTATTTAATAAACAATATTTTTCGCAAAACGATCGCATAATTTGAGACACAAACTTTTCCATAACATGGGACAGTGCCTCCGTACAGGGCTTTGGCTGGGAGCGCACGCTCGAACCTCACAAGACGCCAAAGCGGGACAACTGGAAGAGCTTCCTGTCTTTCTCATCCTGCCACTGGCTGTAACTCTTCACGCTTACTGTGGTATCGAGCAGCGCGTATCCACGCACGTCCCTTTGGCGAGACAGGTACAGCATCAAGCGTCCAGAGTTTAGTTCCTGAGGGCCCCACACGAAGTTCCCAACACCATCGTGCAACAAACATTGCGTTTTGGCACGAAGCCGACGAGTGATGACTTGGGAAACACGTGCAGGGAGCCGCAAATATGTAGGCGACGAGTGATCGAAGCAACACCACTCAGAATAATCAAACCCCGCACACTAGCATTCTTACGTCATAACGTCGACGTCGAGAGCAGACGCGTATACCTTGACGTCGAGCGCAGACGCGCATCATGACGTTGAGCGCAGACACCGACTGAACGCGAGCGATTCGTAAGCGTTCGACTGATCCTCGTAACCAGTCAATGCTTCAAAAAACGCTCAATTACAAAAAATAAAAAGAAGAAAATCTTAATGTAGTGATTGCGCAGGCGAGCTGGTGGATGTTAACCATTTTGTTCTTAGCCCGAGACTGAGGCAGGAAAAGAGGAAAGTTTCGAAGTAGAAGAAAAATGAACAGTCGAGGACACGTCTCTCTTATTAGAGACGTGTCCTCGACTGTTCATTTTTCTTCTACTTCGAAACTTTCCTCTTTTCCTGCCTCAGTCTCGGGCTAAGAACAAAATGGTTAAGAAAATCTTACAAGGGTTTTCGGCAATCCCACATTGCACTGCGCGACACGCGGTATTGGGGGGGCATTCGGATGTATGATCGGGTCGGCTCGTGCGTTCCGTACACCCAAGAGGTGAGTGGCTCACCTCCTCCTCTCTTACCATTGTGAGTTCAGATTAGAGAAAACAAAGAAAAAGCATCACAAATCCGATACGCGTACCGCTTCTTCAAGTTATGAGTATGTAATCCTTCACGCGCCTTACTTCGAATTGCCGTATATATAGTGCGTCGAGAAGACGACGGGAGGCGCTGCGTATTTCCGGAATGGTGTACTGCTGAGTTCTAGGGGTGTCGCGAACCGGCCGCGGTTCGAGTTCGACCAGGTTCGACTTTTTCTAACTCTTAGTGAAAAGTCCGGCGAACCTTGTATCATCGTTCGACTCGTTTGCGCATGCGCGACAGGCAGGCCAGTTGGCTTCGGATTGGATGGCGATGGCTAAGGGAGGAATCAAGGGCAGCGCCGATTGGTTCTTTCAGTTAATTCAGTACAAAAAATTAATTAGGTTATTAACTTCTTCAGTGATAAGAATTGATTTCTTCTAAGTGCAACTGTTCATAAAATAAAAAACCCATTGCATACAAAAAAAAAAAAAAATTCTCCAAACTTAGACATGCTTGTATCAAGGTCTGGCCACAGTGTCCACAAAGTCGAACCGGTCGAATCTGGCGAAAAGTTCGAAAGTTCGTCGAACCCCGAAAGTTCGACCTAAAAATCCGGTTCGACAAAAGTTCGCGACACCCCTACTGAGTTCGGTGACATCCGTGTGTGATGATGTTACGTAGAGAAGGCTGCTGAATGTCTTTGATTATTCTAGGTGGTGTAGTCTAAAGTGAGGTGACGCTGTCCTTGGCTTCGGCGTCGCTGGTGAGGAGTGCGTCCTGGGCCATGTTTCGGAACACAGAGTCGGGGTTTGCGAGGAGGTCAGCCACAGGTCCGAACTCCAAGACACGGCCGTCGCCCATCACGAGGATCCTGAAGGAGAACCGTACGCGACGTTAAAGGCTGATTCACACATTTTCGTTTTGGCTGTCACCGACTGCGTTGCAGCAGATTGTGACTGCTCACGACGAGAAAAGTACGCTAGCGCTGTCTGTCGGGAACCCGTGGAATATTCCATACCAGCGAGGACATCAGACGTTTCACGTGCTCACTGTCCCTGAGCACATTTAATTTTTTTTTAAAAATATATAATCGTATTGAGAGCTTCGTGATTTGCAGATATATTTATGTTGTTCGCCGTGATTGGCTGTCTCCGTGTTCCGCCAAAACGAGAGCTCATGGGCGTTTTTTTTTTTTAAAGTGTATATTCCGGACAACAATAGCGACACGTCTAAGCCTTCTTTTGCGCTACTCTTGTAGACGGAAAGCCTTGAGGCTACGCAATGCTTGATGCTTATCGTGAAATGTTAACTCTGTGGATCGGGCTGACCGGCTGTTCCTGGAATGCGTCTCCGACTTGTGTGTCTACAGCGTCAAAAGGAGTGGTCCCTCGACTTCCGCCTGTTGACGTTATGAAAGTGTCGTACCGTCGATGATCCTGACTCTGTCACAGCAGCGGTTGTGTATGCGGCAGACGCCTCTTCTGCTGCAGGTCGCTTTCCAGTGTGGCAGCTCACGGAAGCTTCTGCAGCTGGAAGTTGGGACGCCGCGACGACAGCGACACTCGCGTCTGCTCGTGCTTTTTGCAGGAACTTCTACGACCAACCGCCAGGATCGCGACATCCGACAGCACGACACCCCGGTGTTTGTGACGTCATTTGTTGCCACTTTGGGAACACTTTCGATGCAAGGGCAGGATAGGACGCTCAATGGGGCCCTGCACGATGCATGGAGCTGCGGTGCAGCCGACTCACTTGTCGTAGTCGAGCACGGTGTGGATGCGGTGCGCGATGGTGATGAGAGTGCAGTGGGCGAAGGCGGTGCGCAGCGTGACCTGGATCAGTCTGTCCGTGTCGCCGTCCATCTGGGACGTGGCCTCATCCAGCAAGAGCAGCCGCGGTCTCCGCAGGAGGGCGCGGGTGAGGCAGGCCAGCTGGCGCTGCCCTACACTGCGTCGGGAATTACGTGGTCCGGTCAGATGTGACTTTCCGTACTACCGTAATAGGGAGTTTTGGTAGATTGTTTCCGCCGTCCTGCAACGCTCTCCGCAACCCGTTACGAGACCCAGAAGTCTGCAGACACGCTTAGAGGCAAGCATGTCTTGTAGAGGGTTGTCCTCAGTGAAGGGAAAGAAACAGTCCACAAAAAATATATGATGGCTGACTCCTAACAGCGCAATGATTAAGGAAATGATGGCTCAGATGCACACGTGACAAGGCAGAAGGCAACCTTTGCGACGCTTTCGCGTGCTCACTCGGCAGCGAACAATTGAGCGCGTTTGTCAGCACGCAATAGTGCTAACGCTAACGTAACCGAGTGGCGCAAAAAAGTTTGATTTCTCTAAATATACGATAGTTTCGTTTCCCTTAAAGACTACAAGACAGGCGAACGCAGTATACTGAAAGTTGGGCTTGTGTCCTTCAACAATCAAGTGCGCGCGTTTTCAAGAAAAGAGGCTCGTTGCCTCTGAGAATAAAACTCGAGCTAATTGATCTACTACTGCGTGAATGCGTATTTGTGTACAGATCTATCTTAGGAGACAGGGTATACCTGTGTGCATGAGTGATCATGCATGTGGCTCCGCTTGGTAGCAGTAAAAATAACATAAAGGGGGGGGGGGGGGGTATAGTGCGCTAATCGCGAAATTTGGAATAGGCATATTTGGAACCATGCAGGCTCACAACGTTAAGAGAGCCATCCTGTTACCTCAGGTTCGAACCGCCGTCTCCGGTGTCGAGAAGCAGTTTCTCGGGATTCCTCTCGACGACCTCCTTGAGGTACGATTGCTCCAGAGCGGCCCAGATTTCCTCGTCCGTGTGAGAGCCAGTAGGGTCGAGGTTCTCACGCAGTGTTCCCCGTACGAGGATTGGATCCTGCGCGTGGAAAGGCGCCAAGTCTTTTACGAGGCGGGACACCTTCGACAGGATGCCCTAGCAATTTAGCTAGTTTCAGAATGGCGTAAGCAAGAACCTTGCGCACAAGAACGACACATTCACTAGACGTAATTGGTTTCAGTGATGGCAGCCGCACAAAGACGACGAGCACCGTGACGGTGCACTTTTGGAGCAGTTTGATTGGTTCCGTCGGATCGAAGTGTCGGTTGTGCTAGGACTTAAAGTGAAGGGAAGTATAAAAGGCGGCAATTTACTGTGTTGGTCTGTTTGCACTCCGCTCGAAAATGTATAGGAAAGGAGGAGGAGGAAAAGCGCTTTTATAAAGAAAGGAGAAGAGTGGGAAGGATGTGGAGGTTAGGGGAAAGGTTGGGAGAAAAATCGGTAAGTTAACATGGAGTGTCGGCGAAATACGATTCTATCTTTGCTGACCCGTTCACTTTGTTGAAAAAATAACATAAATTAAACGGGCTAAATGCTGTTGAAAAAAAGGGGGGGGGGGGATGGGAGCAGTAAATAAATGTTGGTCTATTATTGTGCAATCTGGATATTTCCTAACCTCAGCGTGCACTGAAAACAGAGTCAGTGATTTCGATTTTTTTTCCCGTAATTAAGATAAGGGGTGCGTTTTCTTCATAATCCTTGATTTGTTTAAAAAATTGCCAAACACATCAGCAAACATCCCTAAAGTATTAGGCCAAAATAACTTTTTTTTTTTTTTTTTGCAAAGTTATTGAATTTGCAAGTTTGATCCACAACGTGTTTTTAAGGGGAAAGTCTATACTGGCCGCAATGAAAAAGTGACGCCACCGAAAGGCAGAGGTTCACTCTTTGGACTGTAGACTTCGTTCCCAACCGATTACAAGCAGGTTCATGATGTCAAACGAATGCTTCGGAAGCTCACTCCAGCACCCGAGCAGCAGCACGAAACAAATGCTCAGCATGCATAGTTCATTTTCAGACTGCCCACTCGACCTGCAAGCCTGTCTTCTCCCGACATGACGGCGCTTTTGGGTACCGGGATATATATTTCAATGTTGGTTTTATCATCATTTCCACTTGCCGATTTCGCAATAACTATTCTGCATTTCTTGATACTAGATAGCATACACCAGGAAGGGAAAGGCTGGTGTTTCCAAATATATAATTAATAGCAATAGCTAAAAAAGGAAGAAGATAATTGCTGGAGTTAAGAAACACCGGGTGTGCCTTATTATCTTCGCGCTTTCTCGATTCGGGGGTGGGGTTTCTTATCATCTAATGCAGCCGGCTCATTGGACGGGGAGCGATAACAAGATACTGGGATATTCGGCGTGCCATTAATACTTCGTCTCATCCTACGATGGACTAAAAGCCAAAGTCACGGGCCGCCAGGTCCAATCACGTTCCACGCTAAACTATGACACTGCATCATATTCATAGCTTCGACACTCTAAAGATCCCGTATTTCGTGGCTTTCTTTGAAAGGTAAAATTTTTGAGTCACTCAGTGCTTTTAGATTCAAACCATTATCTCATTAGCGATCCGAGACGCGGGCACCAATACATGCATCGAAGCGAAATACCACGCAACTTCTAAGTGGCTCGTGATTGGATCTGGCGGTCTGTGGCTTCTGCCTTTAGTCCATCGTAGGGTGAGACGAAGGATAGCGTTTCCGAAACTGTCAACTGGTGACTATATGGTATAATATTCGGGCAGCGGGAAGACTGGCCTGAGGGATGACCGTGACGACCGAGCGCAGGGTCTGCAACGGAACGCCGGCGATGTCCACGCCGTCGATTCGGATGCAGCCCCGAGAGCTCTTCAAGACCCGGAGTAGCGCCAGGACGAGCGAAGACTTGCCGGCGCCGGTCCTGCCCACCACGCCCACCTGCGTCCACGGTTCGCAAACAGTTTAGAGCACGCGGGTGACGCTCAACAAAGACCAAACAATTACGGACCGCCGTCGCTTCTCTGCCACACACCACGAAATGATCGGTGAACATGAATCCGTAAAGCGGCACTTACTGCTCACACGTCGTAGTACAAGTGAGACTAGTGTGTTCGTTGCAGGCATGATGGCGGAATTCTCGGAAAACACGCCTCAAAAGTGTACAGCCTACGAATATGTCAGCAGAAAATGTTTGTATATAACCATATGTGACCGTTATGCAAAAAAAGAAACACGCCTCGTACAATGTCTTGCAGACTGTCTTTTTAATGGTCCACACGTTTCTCAATCAAAGGCAAGCAAGTTGAAAATCAGGCTTTACTGACAATATCTCACAGTCCGGTTCTTTATTAAAGAGGCTCTGTGTTAGTAGGCTGTGACCAGACTTTTTTTGAATGCATGAGGCACAATTGGTCCTTGTTGCATTGTTGCGCTTGGAATTTCGCAAATATAAATGGACTTTCACCTGAAATGGAGCGCTCAAGCACTGCTGGTGACCGGTGGCCGCCGAAGAAAACGTGTCTGGCCCGGGAATCGATATTGGCCACCTTCTCAAGACTACAAGTGGGAAGCTCTATCAACTGAGCCGACTAGGAGCTAACTGTCCGTAGGACAAACGGATGTGAAGAGCTGCCAGAAGTCTTGATCGTTACCGCAAAGGTGAGACCCAATGTTTAATGATGAGGTTGTTCCGCTTCGAAATGACATCGTCACTGTGGACTACTTTCCAAGTAGAGTGCGGCTTGCCATGTCTGGGCGTTGATCGTTTATGTTGAGCTAAAGAGACTTACACAGATATATTTAAAAAAACGATTAAGTGTGGAGAGCATGCTTTCAGAGAAAGTTTTCGAGTTCAACGCACTGCCACCTATAGACCAACACGCGGCTGTGACGACACGCCTCTGCGATGGCGCCGTTGTCGCCATGGCGCGTGCGCAGAAGCTCCACCTCACGCGAATCTGGTTTATGCGCTCGCGCAGTGCCCAAACCTGCTGTGGGCAAATGCCGGCTTGTTTGTAAACAGTGTGTCGGTCTATAGCAACCAAACGATATAAGTCAAGTGACAACACCCGAAAAAGGCGGAACTCCGGAACACATTAGTTTTACATTCTGCTCGGCAGGATAATGTTAGGGCCTTGATTGAACAGAGGTGAGAACTTGAGATTTTGTGACGGAGAGCCAATATATGATTCGCCTTCCCTTTCCACGAGGGATTTCTGTTTTTCTGACGTAACTTGTGGCATATACGGCATAAGTTACTATATGGAACATCAGTAGCTTCACATAGATTCCCCAAATAAGCTCGTTTTGAAGTTCCAACATTTCATTCATCTTGCTAACGATGGCCGATGGCGTCCCCTCCAATCACATGAATGGCGAAGCCCAGAAGAACTTTGGGGAAATGTTGAGTGTCGATATGTAGTCGCTCTTACTCTTTCCGTGGGCCATACGGTGAAGGAGACGTCCTTGAGCACGTCCGGCAGGATTCCAGGCTTGTAGGACGCTGCGTAGCAGTCGAACTCCACTTGGCCTCCGGAAGGCCACACTCGTCCCTCCGCGGCCAACGCAGTCATGGACTGCCTCTTGGCTTCGGGTTCGACATCGCTCTGCGGACGCAGAAGTCTCCGTAAGCGGGTGTACCGCAGCTCTGACCATTTGGAAGTAGCCGACATTAAGGTCCCAGCGATGGAATCGATTGCCGCCTATAACTGATCGACGCCTTTTGGTCGATACGTGATCAGTTAATTAAATGATCGATCAAAAGAATTCCCGGTTTCTTTCCGTGTTGTGCGAGTGAACTGCGGCTACGTCAAAGCAGCTGCACACTCTGTTTGATACAGTCTGCTGTACACAGACTTCACAAAATAATTGCACGCCGCGCAATCATTTTTCCGATGCATCTGGGGTATACATTTTCCCGCTAAACATCGCGTGATTTCACGTGACAAAATGGCGTCATGTGACACCGAGGCATTTCTTGACACTATGACTTCACGCGACATCGTGGCGTCAAATGACATCATGACGTCGCGTACTGCGACGACCGTATACGTGAAACACTGTGGAATCCGCTGAGAACCGCGCCTATAGACGCTTTGCAGCAGTTGTGCATGGGCGCCGCCATTACCGACCTCCATTTTTTTGTTTCCTCTTACTCCCTTCACTTCATTTCATCAGTACCACAAAAGGCCAGGTTATTGCCGCCTTAGATTTTATGGTGTCCTTCTCTCCAGCACTGGCCTTTATGGAGGGTCGTCAACACCCGCCTCAGTGACTCGGCATCTCGGTAAGACAAGAGAAGGTCAGCAATGGCGGCTATAATCTGGCGCGTGTGTAAAGCGTCTATAACCGGCTGTCGCCGTACAACTCCACAAACTTCTGAAGGCGAGGCTTGAGCCAGCGTTGTATGTAGCGCCCCCCGGTGCTTACCTCACCAGGAAGCTGGGTGTACTCGAGGCAGCGCTCGAAACTGACAACAGTTTGAAGACTCGTGAACAGCATGTTGCAGAGGGCAACCAGGGTCTGTGGGACCTGCGTATAAAAAAATTAAGCAATTGTGTTGTGTGTTTAGGCAGCGGGTAGTTAGTCAGCTCCAGTGGGCGTCTTATGCCTCTGCTGTAGATGAAAAAGTTAACCAGTGCAGTACGACTACTAGTCATGAAGCCTTTAACGCGCATCACGCAGCGGGGATACGCGTGCCGGTACGATGCTCATCGGAACTGCCAGGGATGAGCATTGAACCCATGCAGGAGTCCATGGGTTCGGCAGCGCGACCGTTCGCTCGTACTCCGAGCTATTGTAGGTTAACGCGCTCGGCCAACGAATTTCTTTTTAAATCGCCAGTGTTTGACGGAAACCTACAACGGTGAAGTAACACATACATAGGAAAAGAAAGTACATCGGTTACCCTAAGCCGAACATTCGGTCAGAACGTCGGCGAGATTCCTGGCTGCGGTAATTGACCAGACTTAACGCGGGTCCCTGCCGAACGTTAAAATATAGCACCTTTGTCCAATCTGCCTCCGCAAGGTGATGGTGAAATCCAGCACTATACGACGTTCTGCCCAGGTGGTGTTCAACTCCCAGTTCAATGGGTACCAAACTGCCCATTCCACGACATCGAGCTCGACAAGCTTTGCTGTTGGCCGGTAAATATTACGCAGACAAAGCTTGTAGATGCCGATCGATGCGAACACGAAGAAAGGGAAAGAGACACACCTGTTTGTCTCTTTTGGCGTTTAGAATTTTCCTGGACAAACTACCTGTTTGTTTCTGTTGTTCAGCATATTTGAAGCACGGCTACCTCAACATAAGTATGCTTAAAACTTGTCTGCAGGCAAAGTTTGGATGACCAATGTGACAAGACCGTCGTACAATGAAGAGACACGACCCAGACAGTGTCTACAGACTGTCTTCTCTACAATGTAGTGCGACCGCGGCGTTATACGGACCAGAGGAGGGTCTCACCGAGGAAGCCGCGCTGAGTGCGAGTGCCATGGTGCTCGGGTCCAGCGATGCGGCGTCTGGGGCGAGCAGGATGACCAGTAGCACCGTGCACAATATGACGAAGAACCCGGAAAATGACGTCACCAACCGAACGAGACGGTAGCAGACGGCGAAACACGCGAAGGAACGCATGGTGTCGTCCACCAGGCGGCAGAAGTGGCGACAGAAGCGCTCGAGGACGCCGTAGCCGCGGATGCTGCTCAGGGAGTCCATGGTCTCGGTCACGTGGGACAGGGCTCGGGACAGGTGGTAACTCTCGCGGAAGCGTGCCACGAGCGAGGCCTTCAGCGCCAATCTCTGCGGGAAGAAGGACGCGTGCTTGGGTATACGAACTGCACAGTCACGCAGTGACGTGCATCGTCAGGGCGCTCGTTGTCTCCGACTGCACCAACCGCGGTTTAGTTGGGGACGCAAATGCACAAAGACGATGAGCGCCGTGACAACTTACCACAGTAAAGGCCATCAGCACAACAGAGACAGCGCCGCTGATCAGCACGACGGGAGCCTGCGTTCCAACGACCGCCAGCTTGGAGATTGCGAGGAGGCTGTTCTGGACGGAGAGTTTGCCCGCCAGGTACATCCGGCTGTCTATGCTGTCGAGGTCCACCGCGAACCTGTTGAGGATACGGCCCCGGGGCACCGAGTCGAAGAAGGACACCGGGCTGCGGAGCACGTGACTGGCCATGCGTCTGTGCATCAACTGCGAAAGCCGCCGGACGCCCAGGGCCAACAGGAGGCTGCCCAGGGTTCTCGAGAACACTGGAGAGTCAGGGAGGTCGAATATTGACGGCGACTTCTATCGCCCAAGTCCTACAATGCATGCACTACAGTACTTCAGGAGCAATTGTGTGCATTTGTTTGGGTCATTTAACGATCGGGGAGTGAGGAACCTATATTTTTTGCCAATTTCCTCGCTAAAATTAGCAGCGAAACCGTCTTGGTACAAAAGTCGCGTGACGTCACGTCACGTCACGTGACATAAATTTTCACGCTAAATAGTTTTTGCGCAAACTTCGATAGAATTTCCGCAGTCCATATATTTTACAGCGGCAGCTGTTTTTAAATCAAATCAAATCAGTTTATTTTTTCACCTTGTACAAAGATGAAGGAGCTGTGGAAAAAACCTACAGCATTGCAGCTTGACGAGTCCACAGACCCTTACTATTGGCAGCTAAGCAGCATCGTGCTAAAGTATTCATAGTAGATAAAAACAAAAACAAAAAAAAAAGGCGGGAAGAAAAGTAATCTTCACAACACATTGCAATAACACATTCACGAAAAAAAAATAATTGCGATCATAAATGTTTTGGGGCGCACACATTTAAACAAAAAAATCGCAAAAATCATACTCTCTCGGTTTCATACATTCTACGGAGTTCACTGTATTTACAGGTAAATAAATCAAAACGCACAAGATGATATCTATTTAATAAAGACGGTAGTATGTAACTTAGGCAATCTTTTCCATAGTTCGAACGAGGTGTACGCACTACCCAATTTTCTCTATGTCTTGTTGAGTAACTAGTTATGTTCTTTATTTGAAGATGAGCCAAATCACGTAAGTTAGTAATATTGTTTCGTGTTTCTAATTTATACCTCAAACTTAATCGATATCTATAGAAGTTGAATGCACTAATCACATGGAAGCGGTAGAACAAGTTAGTACTTGGCGCTCCATAAGGCTCATTGTAAATATGCCGAAGACATTTTTTCTGTAATATATGAATAAGTTGAAGGTTTGAAAATGTTGTTGTTCCCCATACCAATTGACAATAGTTTAGATGAGAGTAAAAGAGCGAATTATAAACGAGTAACTTAATTTTTGTGGAAAGAAGGTATTCAATACGACCTATAATGTCTGTGATCTGAGCTATCTTAGTTACTATATGGTTTATGTGGCTATCCCACGACATAGAGGAAGAAAATACGACACAAAGGCACTTAAAATGTTGAACAATTTCTATAGAACGCGAATTTAGGATGATATCATTATGTACTGGAACTGGCTTGTTTTTTTGTTTTTTTTTTGTCTAAATATGACTGCTTTAGTTTTTACTTCATTTATTTGCATAGAATTAGAAACTGACCACTTTTCTATTGCATTCATTGTAAAATTACATTTGTCTACAAGTTTGTGGATGTCATTACCAGAAAAGAAAATACTTGTGTCATCCGCGTATATAATGAATGTGGCTGTAGGGTTGATGTTAACAATGTCATTAAGATAAATGTTAAAGAGTAGCGGTCCCAATATACTACCCTGAGGCACGCCACAAAGGACGGGTTGAACTTTGGAGCACACATTATTTATTTGAACGACCTGCTTTCGATGAGATAAGTACGACTTCAAAAGCAACAATACCTGTCCACAATACCATAGCATGAGAGCTTTTTTAACAATGCATTATGATTTACCAAATCGAAAGCTTTCTAATAATCCACAAATATACCAACAACAATAGCTTTGCTTTCAAACTGTGTAAGTATGTATTCTTTTTGTTCAAATAGTGCTATTTCAGTAGATTTGTTTTTACGGAAGCCAAATTGGTATGGGGTTAACAAGTTACATTTATCGATAAAGTTTGAAAGTCTTGAACGTAAAATTTTTTCAAATACTTTTGAAAAAAAACAGGCAGAATAGAGACTGGCCTATAATTAGCCAGATTATTTATCTCCCCCTTTTTGTAAAGAACTGTTACTCTTGCAACTTGCATTCTTTCCGGAAAAGCAGCAGCCACTATACATTGATTAAATATCTTAGCAAGAATCGGTGCAAGGATGTGAACTACGTGCTTCACGGGCTTTATTTGTAAGCCGTCGATATCGCAGCTATTACTGTTTTTTTTATGTTTTTGATTACTGTTATCACCTCTTCCTCGGTAACAGGATGCAAAAACATAGATCTGTCATTTTGTACATTTACATAATCACAACATGTGCCAGGCGAGTCATCGCCGACAGCCATACTTGTAAAGAAATGATTAAATGCGTCAGCTAATTCTCTTCCGGATAATTCTTTCCCACTGACTTGCAGTTTGGAAGAGGGACATGTGAGGAACCGCGATGCAGGACTGTATTTAATCTAGACCACATCACGTCACGCCTACAGTTCTTGTCGTTTATAAATGAGGAGTGATATTCCGTTCGCGCACATCGTAGTTTCTTTGTTATTTTGTTTCGGTACTGCTTGAAAATGATCAAATCATCGGTGCTGCGAGTATTCAAAAATTTCTTATACAGGTTATCTCTTATTTGCATTTCCTTCCGTAATTCTGGCGTGATCCACGGCTTACGAATTTTTCCAGTTAGCCTACGCACTTTTACAGGGACGTGAGTACAATATAAAATGTTTAAAACTGCTCAAAAAGGTATTATAAATCTCGTTTGGCTCTTTTAAATTGCTTATATAGCTCCAATTTGCATGCAAGATTGCATCCCAGAACGCATTAAGTGCCGTCTCTGTAATTGATTGGTAAAGTATTTCGGATGATTTGTTTACTGCTGGCCCATTTTTTTCAACGTAAAGAAACACAGGAAGATGGTCACTAATGAGACACGATATAGCTCCCGCTTCATAATTTGATCGCACACAGTTTGTAATGAACAGATCAAGGACGGATAGACAATCCGCTGTGACCATTGTTGGTACGTTAATCACAATAACGAAACCATTTGATAATATAAGTGTGTCAAAATCTCTGGCTGACGGGCTATTATTAGCCATATCTATATTAAAATCCCCTCCTGCAAATAAAAGTTTTCCAGCTTCGGCCACAAATGCAAGAAATTGATCGTAGAATTAAAAAAAGTTTAAAACATCTCCGTTTGGTGGTCGATAGCAAACAGAAAAGACTGTCTGTCCCGAACACAGCGAAAGCACTTCATAATCAGGAGTGATTGCACTGTGACCATCAAGCAACGTGCACTCACTACTATTATAAAGTAGCAACGCAACCCCGCCATCTCGGCTGCTGGTTCTGTTTAAATAATAGGTTCTATAGTTCGGCAATCTAAAAACATCAAAGTCACTTGTGCTCCAAGTCTGGGTTAGCATAATAACGGAAAATTGAAACGAAAATTCAGCAAAAAACTCTTCTAAACACAAAAATTTTTTTCTTACCGACCTAGTGTTTAAATGTATACATTTCAATGAAAGGGGTGAAAATCGAGGTACAAGCCCATTCACATCATTCGGCAAATGCCTCCTTTGTGCTCCCTTTCCCACGAAATCCCCGTGCCGTCCGTACGCAAAAGCCCACTTGATCGCGACGCGCTCTCCGTCTCTCCACATCGCCGTTGCCCCTCGTACAACATCACCATCTATGACAAAACGCGCTCTGGCTCACTCTCTCCTCCCCCCTCCTCTCTTTTCTCTCCTCACCTCTGCTCACACGGGGGCAGCTCTGAAACTGCCGCAGCCTCCACCTCTGCTATACGTGATTGTGGAAGGTTCTCCGGCGCAGCCCCGGGCGGTGCCTATTCAATTCTATTCCCCCTCCTCCCCCCCCCCCCCCCCCCAACACACACACACACGCACCAGATATGGTACACCATACAGGATTCACTGTTCGTTCAGAGAGCACGAATAACAAGCGCACCGCGCTGAGAAGAATAAACAGAAAGCCGCAGCGGCAGAAGAACAGTGTAGGGCACTGCAGGACCCCGACCATCACGCACGAGAGGCAACGCGTAAACGCGAAGGTTGTCAAAACCCTCACGTCATCGACTAAAAGCATGTCTTTTAACAACGCATCAGCTGCCGCTGACAATAGACCGATTTCACTCTGCTTTCCACGCACGCCTGACGCCGCCATAACTGTATGTTCACACAAGGCAAGCGACTGTTCACGAGAGACCTCGTGCGACCTCGTGCTCAGACCCCCGTCATTTCTTGATCACGTGCTCAGAGCACATGACCAAGCAATGGCGGAAAGGCGATGGCGTGATCTCTTGAAAAAGGGTTTATTATTTCGTGAAATCTGTTCGTTGTACCTCATCATTCGCACCGTTCTATCCGCAAGCGTTAGCTGGGTTCAAAGCTCTGCCACGAAGCGGCAGTTATACACCGCTAACAACATCATACGAAAGACAATCTTGAGACACTGCCTGAGGCATGTTTCTCTATTTGCACTACGGTTCTTTCACGTTGGGCATGGAAAAGACTGTCTGCAGACAGGTTCAAAGCATATGAATGCACGAAGCAAATGACTGTAGATGGTTGTCATCATGTTTCCAGTGAGCACCATATGTTTTTCGTGTAATGTACAAGCACTGTGACTGCAGGTTTAAGCGCGAGTTGGAACACTTGTGCAGGCATACCGTCCACCAGGCAGATGGCAACGAGCGGCCAAACCCAGACTTGACTGTCTGGACTTCCGCCCGTGTCACTGCTGGAAGCGTTTGTCCAGTCCTTGATCCACAGGAGCTGCCAGGCGACGGCCACGGTGCTGGCCACGAAGGCCACCAGCCCAACGCCGAACCAGGATCCAGACATCTTCATTAAAGCGCACGTCAGCTGCCAGCCACTCTGTCGTGCAGGGGAAACGGGAGTTCGCGTCAGGCAGCCGTTCGGTAAGGGATTTGAAGTTCAAACAAAAGTTGTCACAACGATAGTCAGGTGATAAATGGTCGCCCCCCACCCCCCCCCCTCTTTTCCCAAGTAATAGAAGCAAAAAAAAAAAAAAAATAAAAGCAATCACCTTTACCCCACGAATAACGTTTTAAATATGGAGGATGCCGACTGATAGGTAAATTTAACCATCAGCTACCGAACAGTCGAAGATATTTCTGTCATCGGTGGCCAGGAATGAAACGACCAGTCTGTGGCTAGCCCCTTTCTGGGCACTATTTTTGTCATCGGTGGCCAGCAATGAACCGAACAGTCAGTGGCCAGCCTCTTACCGGGTACTTTTTTGTCGTCGGTGGCCAGCTGCCTGCCGGTGGCCAAGCTGGCCAGCCAGGTACCAGGCTAATAACGGACATTGGCCGATGGCTGGCCAAAGTTTTGCGCTGCCTGGGGTTACTTGGTCTCGTGGCCACGTCACCCGACGTCAGGAGGTCACGTGACCATGAAACTCAGAGTGGCACCAACTACGTGACCATGCGACCGGAGTGGCGCAAACTATATGATCGTCTTACCTTTGTGTTATCATGTTCATAAAAAAGTTTTTGTGACTCTTTAAGCTCAGAGGACAGCCCATATCTGCACCTAAAAAGAAGGCTATTTTTTCACCTCATTTACGAACAGACAGCTTTGTTAAGGACTTTTAGAACTTTACGTGTATAAGGTGACCAAGCGTTGCCCAACCACCGGGCAAATTTAACGAGAAAATTAATCCATAAATGAGTCTCGAGGCGCCTTGGCACTTCAAAAACTGTTTAAATTGATTTAGCCATAATCGTAACTGACGTTAATTCCGCAATTTCAAGACGACCCGTCTGACCATTCATTAAAAGGTTAATAAACATATTTTTGTTAATTATCCGACTTATTGTCACGAATAACCCCTATATTATGCACCCCTGGCCAAATAAGTAACTTGCACCGACAGCCTTAAGGTAGCCTTCACGGCCTTCAAAACTTAATTAGAACTGTTAAAAAAAAAGAAAAAAAAAGAGGAACAGCTTGCATGTTTTGAACACAGGGAAGACTTTAGAAGAATGTGCAAGCGCTCGTTCTAAAATGTTGCTAATAAAACAACATTGTTGATTAGTTTACTTTCAGTGAGAGCACAAAACAGGAGGGAAAGATTGCTTGTACTCGTTCATGAAGCTTCATAAAACCCGCGCATTTCTTTAAAAACCAGAAGAGCTCTGTTGCTCTTACGGTCGAAACTGATTTAATACGTTGGTCTATAAAAATAATTGACCAGGTGCAGCCCAGGCTTCTTGCATTTTAAACTTGGATGGGACTACGTTATAGCCACGGAGTACATTACAGGTGTCTCCACTGCAAGAAATGAGTTATTATTTTTGAATTTGTTAGAAAGTCAAAGTTTTGATCAACTCATTGCTTCGGTTTGCGCCGAGACGTTTACGACTCATATAATATTGGTTGCTCGAATGTTTCGATTATTCTATGTCTGAAGTCCTGACAGTTGCGCCAAATTTACAAATACAACACCCGTGCTGTTTATTTTTTTTTTTTTATAGCGTACGATTCGTTCGCCACTGTACTCAGCGAGCAATAAACGCTGTGGTGCAATTTGTTATTTAAACAAACCTACTATTCTTACAATAATCAAAAGAGCACCTACCATCGTCGACTCTGCGACTTCATCTTCGATGACTCGCCCGTTGAGTTCGCCATCATTCGATTCTGCGCCACGACTCCTGGCGGTTACAAAGACCAAGTAGTGAAGATTATACGATGGCCAAGACTGCACGCTATGTGGCGCAAACAAAAACAACCTCAGATGCACAAAAAAATGCGTAATATCGAAACATATGGGCGCACTATGGGAGGAGCATACAACTTAGTTATTTTTCTTTCATTGTGGCAACCTTCCAGATAATGTATTCAGCATATCATCTATGCGAACAGTCAAGCAAATTAAAGAAATTGAGTGAAATGCACTAAACCCAATTTTTGTTTCCTTTTGTGCGCATAAAATCTTTTAATTATCTCCCGATTGGCGCGGCGAGCAAATGACACAGTCTGTCGTCTACTCGCTGCGACTAAAGACTATCCAGTGACTTTAGCTGTGACTATCGGGAGATGGCGCCACGCGTTACAAGCGTCCCTTAGCGTCGCTAACTCAGTCGTCGGCGAATCCGTACGCCGTTGTCCTTAGCATAGCCTCCTATATACTAAAAAAGCCTGGCAGATCGCCACAAAAAGCGGCCGCCGAAATGGAAAAGGTGGGGCGGCAGACAACGAATGAAAGGAAAGCCACGTGACTGGCGCCCCGCTGCGGCGAGACTCCGAAACACTTTTCTCCCGGGCGAACAAGTGTTTTTCGGGCCCTCGCCGCTGCAAAAGCTGCGCGCAGACGTCCAGGTTCCGCGAGAAATTCCTCTTTGATGCTCTGTGCTACCAGATACTCGCCCTCCAAACCTGCGACCAGGCACTCTATGGCTCCGCCGTCGAACTGCCAGGCTTTGTTAGTGTAGACAAGGCTATGTCCCTGGCTATACGCCTTTCACCGCTAAGCTGACAGGGCGGTTTAACCTACGTGCTGGTTTCAACATTTTCGAACGTCGGCATGGCACCATGTGATTACGCTCTTTACGCTTACTCTTGAGCGAAGAGCGAGGTTAGACAATAAAAAGCAAGCAATGAACTGGATCGACAAACACGCAGCTTCAATCGCCCTGTCAACTTTGCGGAGATAGTTTGTTGGTCTCATTTTACAGCAAAGCTGTTTATGGTTACGGTTCCGTGGATTTTTCATGTGCGTCCACAAAAACTCTACGCTCGCACCGCCGCACCCGCCGCATGCGCACACCTTCTTCGTATAAAAGATTCGAGGTAAATAACCAGAATAAAGCGTTGACGAACGCGCTTGCAGGATGCCATTTGTTTTAGGCTTTTGCTTTATATAGAACAGTTACTGCTGCAAACCCCGGCACGTGGGGCGCGTGGAAAACCATTCTTTGCATTCTCCTTGGTGCTTGGGTAATTTAGCAATATGCCTATTCAGTAGATTAGTTATCAATAGGCACCATTTTCAAGATCAGTAGACTCTCGGGTAGTCAGTAACGGTTTCTCAAAGATTTGACGTTGTGTGACCTACGTCGGCCATGTCTACGCTCGCACCGACCTCTCTTTGTCGTCGTTCCAAGCGCTCGCGTGCCTAGTTTCCTTTTTTTCCGCTCTCCCGGGGTGGCGGTCCCGTCGCGCGTGTCTAGTTTTCTCCGGCTCCTCGGGGCGGCGAAAGTCGTTCATGCGAAATAATGACCACCGATCAAGACAACAATAAGTGTGTGCGCGTACCTATCGTCACGATGACCACCGATCAAGATGATAAATGTCTTCGTGCCTTTGTTCAAAATTCTGTCACGTCTGTGCCGTGTGCTAAACAGCTTCGCTGGTCATCCGCCTTCAGAAAGTGGAATAGCTCATGATTTTGTTTTACAAGAAGGAAGCTATGCCCCGATTTTGATTAAACGGGCTCGGGGGGTCAACTTTCGGGGTTTATCGGTTTTGCTGAAAACACGAAAAGTCGGTAGCAAATGACCCTTCAACTCACACGACGTCCTTCTTTGACTCGGTTTCCGACGAACTGAAACCCTGACGAAGCGTCAGCGGAGTTGCGGGGTCCTCAAGGAGCTCGGTGAGGGTTTCGTAGATAGTGACCGTGTTGTTATGTACCAGGACGAGCTTGTCCATCTGGTGCAGGAACGAGCCCTGGTTGCAGGCCATGATTCGCGTCTGCAAGCATGCAAGTTTGCCAGCTCCTATCAGGCGACCAATTTCAAGAAGAGCTCTGCGCATGCGCGGGCTCCCACGCAGCGGCAAAAGCTGGAACTACGGTTGGCGTCGGGAAGGAGAGTTGCGCTACCTCATACCTGCCTCCCCCGCGACTCAGGTTCAAGAAAAGTTCTGTGCACGCGCAGGCCCTCCTCGCGCAACTGCCTCCTACAATTAGCATAATCGTCAACAACATCGTAGTTTGCATGCCTCAAATTATGTGCAGGTGTCTGCGTTCTTGTTATTGGTTATAGGGTTTTGTGTTTTCGGATAAATCGGACAAAATCCGAAAAAAAAAAAACTTGCCGGTAAATTTTACGTTAAATCGAATTTATCGTGAAAACTATGAATTTCGAGGTCACAACGACAGAATTAAGGGCAAGAAAGGCGGTGTTCTGCCAATAAACTTCGTAAGAGCACAGGGTCAGTGGTTTCGAGGCACTTCAGTTTCCTTCGAAATCTATAACTGCTAGGAGAAGGGGTTTGCCTTGTGGCACGTCAAAGGTCTTTCAGGAAAACGAGTCATGGTGCCCGGACTTTATTTACTTTAATTGTTTCTGAATTTTTAAAATATAAGAAGACAGCAAAATGAACTCCAATATTTCAAAGAATTGGGAATCTAACAAAAACAAACCGCGATAAATCCCAATTTTTCAGCGAAAAAAATAAATTCCGAAAAACACCCTCCGAATTTCACTAGAAATAAACTTCGAAAACACGAAATTCTATAGTTACGACACATATCTTGATTGTGAGGGTAGAGAGTAAGAGCACGAAAAAAGGAGAACGTAAAGCCTTTTAATTTATTAAGCATGCATTTGTAGTTACTAAAATGTCCTGGGTCAAAATAGTTGTAACAAACTATAGTATGTGACAGCTTCAGAAACCGAGGGTGTGGCTTATCGTATCCCTGCTTCGTGATTGGTTGTTCGGCGTTCTTATCGGCTAATGCCGCAATCTGATTGGTTGAGGGGCGACAATGAGATGCAGGGCACTCGACACCCCCTGCATTTTTTTTAACTGTCAGGACCATGTATCGTATACGTACACATTCTAAGAAATGTCTGTAAGTCTACTTTCCCGCACCACCACTCGGAGAGCCAATCAGCGCAACTTACGGAGGCAGCTCAACGAATGACGATGCCGAAACATATGTTTAGACCACAAAACGCAGTCTGAGTTGTGACATTAAGCAATGCCAAACGTCACGCTTGCATTGCTTAACGTCACAACTCAGACTGCGTTTTTTGGTCTAAACATATGTTTCGGCATCGTCATTCGCTGAGCTGCCTCCGTAAGTTGCGCTGATTGGCTCTCCGAGTGGTGTGCGTGAAAGTAGACGCACACACTTTTTTTAGAGTGCAAGACGTCGCTCAATGACCACCGATGCTTTTTCCACCGATGCTCAAATCTTGTTAAAGGTTCAAAAGACACGACAGTGCCCTATGCGTGGCGCAAGTTCGTCTGCTTCGTTTCTGGTGACGCCAGAACGCCGAGCTTCGATTGGCTATGATTGACGAATAGTGGGTAGACCTCAAGGCACCTGGCTTTGAGGTCTACCCACTATCCTTCACTCAGAACCAATCAGAGCTCGGAGTTCTGACGTCACTACAACCCCCTACAAGAGAAGCAGACGAACTTATCCTCCGCATTAGGTGGCACCAGGGGGCCTTAAAGGCGAACAGACGGACTCCTCACCCTGTTCCTGAGGATGCCGTTCTTGCCGAGGACTTCCTTGAAGACTTTTCTCGCGACGACCGGGTCGAGCGCGCTCAGGGGATCGTCCAGGAGATAGATGTCCGACCCACTGTACGCCGCCCGTGCCAGGCAGATGCGCTGCTTCTGGCCTCCACTCAGCGTTTCACCCTGTGTACGTTAGAGAGCTACAATATGAAATCTGCCTGGCTCTCCGATTCACTCATTTCTAATCTTTTTGTATGAAAGGGACCTCTCTGCAGAGGTGCATCCCACGTTTTTGCTCGACGTTCCGAAGGCCTCGAAGACAGCACAGTCTGTCTTCGAGGCCTTCGGGACGTCATCAAGAACTTAGATCTAGAGTCTGCCAGTCTGGGCAACTATCTAGACTTTTCCTTTCAAAACTTTTCCAATCTACTCCAACTTGTTTGTGTTTTGCTGGGTCGCGGTTCGAGTCAATTTAAGACACAGTTTGAAAATTAGTATTGAAGTATTCGCATTGGAAAGAAAGGGAACAACGTCTTCAACTTTCCTAGCGTCGTTCGTGTTCAAAGTGACCGCAGTCATATCCTTCTAAGGTCTAGACGCTTTCGGTGTTACGAGTTGATGAGGCAAATCAGACAGCGTCAAAAGCGCACGATCATGCTGCTCGTCATGTTTCTTCATGTGTTCTATTATCGCTGAACTTATAAACCGGAGAGGCATAGTGACTTGCGCTTTTCACGCTGCTCGGGTCCCAATCCCTCGTAGCGTCGGTAGCGTCTTGACTTAAGCTGAAACAAAGTATAAGCGTCTTGTTGCCCGTTAAGCACTTGGGTAAGCCAATCGCTCCAATCTACAGAGGGACCTTGGCGAAGGACAAGGCTCAAAGTGACCCTGAGCATGATGTTCTACCATGCGGAAAGAATGTCACAACGAAAACGGTCTCTTTTAGGCCTAAACATATGTTCAGTCTTGTCAATGGCCGAGCGTCCTCCGCAGACTGCAACTAGTGACTTCTCTAGGGACTCTGCCAGAAAGGTAGCTAGACGCTCCAGCTTTCTGAGAGTGAGGGCAGCACCCAGCCCTCGGTTATTTGTTCGTTACCCGTCGATGCACAAGAACTTACTTTCTCCCCGACCTCCGTGCGGTCCCCAGCGGGTAAAGAGTTGATGTCGTTCAGAAGTTGGCAGCCGCGAAGCACTCGGTCGTAGCTCCTCGCGTGCATTGGTTTTCCAAAGAGGATGTTGTCCCGCACGCTCATGTTGTGCACGTCGGCCAACTGGGGAACATAAGCCACGCGGCCCTGCGAGGAAATATTAGGAAGTTTTAGAATACCTCTGTGCTTGCGCAGAACCTCTGTGCTTGCGCTGAACCACTGCGCAAGCGCAGGGGTGTTCTTAAAGGCGTAGAGTGCCTGCTTTATAAACGCCTATTCACCTAGAATGATGAACGAAAAAAAGAAAATGTACAAAACTTTCGTGCCTACTAGGGCAACCCGATAAATAATGCCAGTGTATTCTCTCGTCGTAAGATACCACAATAGATTTTAAGGCACACGGTCGTAACCAGTCGCAAGCCTGTACCGGCCCTGATAGGTAACAAGAACACCTAAGCCACGTACCGTGCACGTGGCGACGCCTTCCAGGCAGTGCATGTCTCCCAGGATTCCGGACAGGAGGGAGGACTTTCCGGAGCCCACGAACCCGACCACGCCCACCAGGGATCCAGCCTCCACGTGCAGGCTCACTCTCCGGAGCCCCGCGCTGGCCTTGCCGTCGCCGTGTTTGCTCCAGGCAAAGGAGCACTTCTCCAGGATCACTTCTCCTGAACCGGAGTCGAACGAGCACCGTCATCCTAGATCTTTTCTTTTTAGTCAGCATTGTCCACTTTCCAAGACATCGCAAAAAGGTTTGAAAGAAATATCAAAATTCTAATTGATACCCAGACAATTACAGTCCTCTGGAAGGTTACGATCTCTTGCAAAGAAAAGCGGAAATTAATAATTTTGTAAATGTAATTAACCAAACATATTCAATGCAAAAAAAAAAAAAGAAAGAAAGAAAAGAGAGCTGTGCAATAAAATCTACAGGTGTCCAAAAGTTGAATTACTGCCTACTTATATTTTACGACTTTCATATAAAATATTATCAGGGAACATTGCAATCTTTCTTGTTCTCAGTTGAAATTCTCATTTGAGTGCATGCTCCGAGCCGTAAATGTTTAAGAAAGTTGGAAACAACCAGAATTTGTAGAGAGAGAGAGAGAAAAAAAAAGAGGCTTTAGCGTCAGGTTTTTTTTTAGCCCTGGGGATAATTTAAAGGTCATGGGGTTTAACATTGGCGACTTCTGATATGTCGACGGCACGTTGTGGCTAGGATAGATAGCTGTCACGGCAGGCGCGTTGGCCAGCTTTCTTGAGCAAAACACATTTCACGGCGTCATGTCAGGAAACCAAAGCTCTTATTGGCTGATAAAAAAAAAAATAGTGGGTAGACCTCGTGTCATCTAGCATTGGGGTCTACACACAATCCTTCCAATGAAAGCCAATGAGAATTCGGCGTTTTTCTGACGTCACAGCAACCCCTGTGCAAGAAGCAGACGACTTGCTCTCCGCATACAGTATAGATCAACAAGCAGCTCTGACGTCACGTCGCTGCGGTGGCGCTACTGTCGGCAAGGCCCATGAGCAGACGCTACACGTCACGTGATGTGGGTCTCTGCGTGAGCGAAGTACCGTAACATGGGCAAACGCGGGTCTGCTTTTAAACAGTGCTTATTTGGCCTATATTGAACAAAAAGAATGAAATACTTCTGTTACAGCGGAGCTGTTAAGGGCTATAGTTTCCCCAGGATCGTGTCCGTCCTTAAATGACCTGATGACACAGAACTCTGGACAGGTACTGCCGTCTATAAACGACAGGGGCAACCAGACAACCGGCTTGCCGGTTGTTGGGTGTCCGCCGTTGCTCATAGATGGCGGCTACCTTTCGAGCCTTTCCACTCTGGCTTGCCGACTTGCGGCCGGCCATTACTCCAGAGTGGAAAGGCTTACGGTTTTGATATGTGGCGTGCTCATGGAGCCCTACCTTGTTTCCGAGGTATCTTGTTATCCGTGTCCTTAGACGTGTCCTCCATCTCTTCTTCCGTGCAGAACGCGACGATGCGTTTCAACCCCAAGGAAACCTGACGGAAGGATCCCAAGTATGCATCAACGCCCTTCTCCTTTTTTCCCCTCCTCGATGCACAAACTATTGGTGGGTCCTTGCAGTGTACCGTAAGTTCGTGTAAGGTACAACTCGTGTCAAGGGCAGTACAATCAAGGCATAGCAAATGCCGTGCATGGGAAAAAATAAAATAAAAATGGGACAGTGCAATCTTTAAAAAAAAACAAAAAAACACCAAATATTCTGCACGTATCGACGCGCGACTTTGTTTTCGGTTAGAACGTCAACCACGCAAACTGCATGGCTTTGCTTCTCGCTGTGATCTCCTCCTTTTTTTGTTTTGTTTTCGGGAGGTTGGAGACTGAGTGCCAAAACAACACCGGAGGCCTTTCAACAAACGTCAGTGGAGCGTGCGAGTGCCTGTCCAGAATCACGTGATAGGCACGATCCAAGCCTGCATCCAAGGCAGTGTTGTACATAGACTTGGGAAGTAGTCCGTTACAAGTATAACGAATTACATGTAATTCGTTACTTTTTTAAGTAATTTTGTAATTCTCACGTTACTTTTTTGCGAAAGTAATTTGTAATGTAATTCTATTACAAAATTTTGGTAACAGACTACTTTAATTACTCGTCACTTTTTTTAAAAATATGAACATAATACATAAATTGTAGCAATATCAGTCTCAGGCCAACCGCTCGACCAAAGCACAAAAGCGAGCGCTCGCGCTCATGCATTTTTCAGTACTGCAGCAACGTGCGCGATCAAAAAGCGTCGCTGTGGTCGGCCTTCCACTATTGGCCAAATGCTGACTATGACGTCAGCAAAATATTTTTTTTTGACGGAAATAAGAGGAATGGAAGAACTTCAATTTTGGCGGTGTTGGCAGCGTTTGTTTTAGAGCGCAATGATTTCAATCTCCCACCATGCTCATTACAAACACAATCGAACTTGTTGTTCGCAAGGTAATGACGTCACGAGAGGGAACCACGGGAGGGCGCCACCGAAACACCTCGCCGCTAATAGGGAATATTCACTGGCGGCCATAGCTGGGTGCGCGGCAGCTGTGCGCGTGCTGACGGCGAGCTTTCACAGTTCTCCTACAACGTGCATTCCGCACAATCAAGGTTGCCGGTCTTGGTATCCAATTAATGTTAGCTCGTTCTGAGCATGCGCTCTAAACATCGCCGTCAAAAATACATAAGCTGACAGTGCGTGAAAGCACGAGAGCGCAGCTTTGAGACGCAGCACTTACGCTTGAAAGGCCCATCACAGAAAGGAGCTTTCGTATAATCGGTTCCTTACCTCCGAATCTTGTAGCGGAGCAGATAGATACTGCTACTGAGCATTCGCACAGCCAGCTTTATCTGTAGGATTTCAGGAATCTTTTCCATTCACCGCAAACGAGCGGAATGGCGGGTGTGGTCGCAGCTTTCGCTGCTTTGTCAGCTTACAGGGTGAACGAAGTGCATGCACTATACATTCGTTCTCTTAAATATAATATTTTGTTTTTACAAGGACTACCGTAATGGGGTGGTGTGAAAATGGGCAAGTAGTGTTGCAGATCATTTTTGTAAACATCAAACTTGTTTCAATTGTTTTTCTATTAAACGTACGGGAAGAGTAACGTGAAAGTAATTTGTAACGTAACGATTAAGTAATCCGTTACTTTTCAGTGTAATTAATTCGTAACGGTAATTCATTACATTTGAGGCTACATAATTTGTACTTGTAATCCATTACATTTTCCAAGTAACGGGCACTAGTCTGGTACGAAACAGCGTTCAAGTAAACGAAGTTCCAGGAAGGCGTTCCTTTTAGGAGGGACGAAGGAACAACGCCGTTCCATCTCGCATACGTGGAACTGTAACGGATATACGTTACGGTTTCGAGGAGATGGTAGGAGGAAAGACATCTCTTCTTTTTTTTTTTTTTTGGTCCATTTAGTCGAAATAGATAGTCGAAAACCACGAACTGGAACAAACGTGATCGTGGCAACACAAGACGTACTTCGACACGGATATTTTCTCTTGCTTGCTTTATTGTATGCACGGATTATCCGGATCAACATTTTATTAAAATACACGAATGAAACGCTTTTGCAATGGCACGTTCCAATTTTAGAATTGTGGCGTTTTGGTTTAAATCAGTGTGTCGAACCGGAACCGAACCGAACCGAAAACCGGAACCGAACCGGTATTTTTTCCGGAACTGAACCCGAACCCGAACCGTTATATTGTTATCGCGATGAACCCGAACCGGAACTGAACCGGAAAAAAATAACGGTTACCGGCTCATGTCAAAACGGTTCGGCCACGCGCTGTTGACAATGAATGTGCTATCAATGCCATTTGTTTTTTAAGTGCCGTCAACTGACACACACCTCGATTACATATTTTTCTTCTCCACTCAGTCTTAGGAATATAAACGCTGCATCCATGAATCTTGACAAATGCTGCATCCATGAATCTTGACATAGGAACCAGTATTGCGCTGGTCGCGGCTTGCACGGAAAAAAAAAAAGAATTAAAAAACTGTGCAAAAAAAAAAAAAAAAAAAAAATCGCGTCACGGGATTTCATTTTCCTACAATCTCGTAAATCCTAAATGCTGCTGTGTGCTCATTTCATAACACGTTTCTAGAACGCGCGAGTTCTTGAAGCTTGCTTCCATCGGAATGAGAAAAGAAAAGGCTGTGGAGTTTGATAATAATGCATCCGGTTTCGTATAGGCACTTAGAAGCTAACATATTTGTGAGACAGCGAACTCTTCTATTTTAATATTTATCCTATTACGTCCTTCTGGCGTTGCGTTCGGTGAAGTGTTTTTCATATTCCGTATCTTGTCTAATGGAAACTTCTTTAAGGGTCTAATTTGAGTTACCGAAGGCTAGTTCAAATAAAGAAAGCTGTATTTTCTCCCCACTGTTCCTTCAATTGCTTACACGCCGAGGTGGCGGGACAGTTAGCGAGTTCTACTTGTAAGTGGGTTTGTAAGGAGGTCGCGGATTTTACAGCTACCGCGTCGGACCCAGTTAGATGAAGTCCGAATGCGTAAACGTCGTTGAGGTAACCTTTGAGTGCACATAAAGAAACCATTCCTGGTAGAAATCCCTGAGCCTTACACTACGATGTATCCCGTTTCGTATGTGCTGATTTCAGATGTTTTATTTGCAATTTATTTTGATGTTGCAATTTGTCATTTATAATTTCCGAACCGGTTCGCGAACCGGTTCGGGGATCGAATTAATCGAACCGGAACTGAACCGGAACAAAATAAATTTACCTGAACCTGAACCGTAACCGAACCCGTATTTTTTTTCGGTCCGACACACTGGTTTAAATAGAACTAATAATTCGTAAATATTTATTTGTTTATATATTCTTGATAGAGACGGAATCGCCTCGAACTACTTTTTGTCGCGGAGGGCTCTGTTGCTGTGGCGGTAACGAGGCCTCCGTGGCGTCGAGTGTTATCACGTGCCTTTTTCCGACGCTCTTATTGGGTCGCGTGGGTCGCAGCCTCCCCAGTTTGCGAATTTATCGTGAGACGGAATAAAGGTGTCGCTTCTTGTATCTACAGGGTGTCACAAAAGAAAATTTACACGGTCTTTTTAAAAGTAAAAATAAACTAGGCATCGCCGAACGCTCATTCTCCGCCCAAAGGTAAAGCTAGAGGTCACAACCAGATGCCAAAGTTTCAGCCCGATCCGATAACTTAATCAAAAGTTATAAGTGATTTTCTGAAAATTTCAATGGGAAAATGGAGCCCATTTTTGCCCGTTTTCGGTTTCTGGTGCCATAGAGCCCCATGTGTTTGAAAGCTCCGTCGGCCGCCATTTTCCCATTGAAATTTTCATAAAATCACTTATAACTTTTTATCAAGTTATCGGATCGGGCTGAAACTTTGGCATTTGGTTGTGACCTCTAGCTCTACCTTTGGGCGGAAAATGAGCGTTCGGCGATGCCTAGTTTATTTTTGCGGTAAAAAAGAGCGTGTAAATTTTCTTTTGTGACACCCTATACTATAGTGACGACGTAATAGACCGATCTCACAAACTAGCTTAGCTACGCCACCGCTACCGCTATCCATCGAGGGAACTTGAGTCTTTCTGTGTACGTGCGCCAACCCCGCTGGAGCTCTGTGCCTGTGGAGCACGAGACGGCACGAGCACTCGCATGCCGCGGCCGTGTGCCTCCTGTGAACTAAAGTTATGGCGGCGTCACGCATGCGCCGAACGCTTAGTGAGATCGGTCAATTGTGGAAGCCTCGTCCTCTATAGGTGGTTGTGCTCGAATGCGGCCCATATGGCGGCGAACCAAGAGGAGGCTCACCTGACTCCTGAGCCTGAGCCCCATAGCAAACTGCGACGTGGCCACGTCCGTTATGTAGAGGAGGGACACGCAGGCGAAGGATGTGGCGGCTGTCAGCGTCCGCTCCGGGTAGAAGATCGCCAGGGTGCCGAAGAGTAGGATGATGAGCTGCGGATGACACGCGCGCATGTTGATCTGCTGCGCGTGTAACCCTCCAGGCGAGACATGGTGAGTCGCTAGGCTGTGGATGGACGGGCGGTACCTGACAGTCGACAGGACAAGTCTACTGCGCATGTTCAGAACGCCTTCTACAGCACAGTAGACAAAGATGGACGCTGAAGCTTCGCCTTTAAGAGTGGAACCCGATAGCGAAAAATATAAACACATACTCCCGCCTATTCCCAAGCCGTGTAAACGTGCCTTCCGTGGCCCAGTCAGTAACGTGACTGGTTCGCATCCCAATGTTCGAAGGCCGACAAAAACTCTGAAATTTGATTTAAGACAAATGAATTAATTTATAGAGTGAAATCAGTGGAGACACGCGGCGACCTTCAATTCGCATTATATGCCATGTTTCTCAATCAGTTTCATTCCACGCGTGACGTCATGTTTCATGCGACCGTTGTTGGGTTGTTTGAAATTCTCGCGCGAGGTCACACGGCTGTGACGTCATGGACCCATCAACCAATCCTTGATTTTAGCACACGCCACCGATGCCGGCTTTCCGGCGACACAAGCTACCTAACGCTATCACGTCAAAAAAAAAAAAAGTGCGGGATGACGGTGCATATTTACTGCGCCTCATCGGTCTAACCGGTGACAGCAAACGTATTGAGACAACGAGCAGCGTGACAATGTAGTTTTAGGGACTGCTTGATGGGCTCAGTCCGATCCATCGTGCATGTCGGTTGCGCTATAGGCCCTAGTGGGAACCGGAGCTTAGGGAGGTTTAGTAGATCATTCCGACACCCCGATAACGATACCTGATAACAAAACGACGCACGCGCAAAGGCGACTGTGTAACTAAAACTCTGTAAAGCTGCAGTCACACTGCTCACACATCGAAAATCGCTGCAGGCATGATGACAGAACCATCTGCGGACGCGGCTCAAGCATCTAAAGGCCCGTTCACACTCTTGCGACTGCTTGCGACCTCTTAAACCTGGGTTCCTTAAAACTTCTTAAACCAGAGAACACACTGGCGCCATCTATTGGGAAGCAGTGTAAACTCGGCGGTCCGGCATATTTTTTTTTTATTTCTCGCGCAATATCCTTTCTTTTTTGGCTCGAAAACTTTTGTCAATGTTATAAACGAGCCTTTCTATGGGTATTACGCACATTTGACCTCGGAAATCCCGCAAAACCTTCGCTTTTGTGAAATGCAGTTCTAGGGTCACCGCATAGATGGCGCCACTATGTCAGTGTGTCCCCTCATTCTAGAAACATTTAAGAAGTTGTAAGAGATCTCGTCTCTGTCAGTCGTACTCGGTCGCAAGAGTGTGAACGGGCCTTTAGATTCACGTTGGCATTATTCAAACAGAGTGCGTTTAACAACGAAGCTGTTTATTGCTAGGGTTCCGTGGATCTTTCGTGTGCGTCAACAAAAACTCAGAGGGGGCTCGCACCGCCCTCTCTTTGTCGTCTTTCCAAGCCGCTTGCCTGTCTAGTTTCCTTCCCCTCCGCCGGGTGGCGGTCCCGTCGCACGTGTCTAGTTTCCCCCGGCTCCTCGGGGCGGCGATAGTCCTCGAAATGTGTGTCTATACCTTTCGTCACGATGACCACCGATCAAGACGATAAATGTATACGTACCTTTGTTCATAATTCTGTGTCACGTGTGTGTCGTGTGCTAAACAGCTTCGCTGGTCATCCACCTTTACAAAGTAGAGTGGCTCATGATTTTCTTTCTACTTTTTAGATTTGTTTAAAATAAAAAGCCATGAAAGCTACACTTGTGCGGTTTGTGCAGGTGAGTTTTACGGCCAGGGGGACAGGGTATAGGAAGCTAATCGTAACGATCGATCAAATAATCAAGTAAAATTGCTAATAAACTTTATTAATTTGTTAACATAGATGCGTGGTTCCGATAGAGGGTCTCATCAATCGCTGGGCGCATGTGTGTCCTCGTTGTAACTTTAGTTCTCAGGAGGAAGGAAGCAGTGCACGAGAAGGCTCGTGCCGTCTTGTCCTCTCCACGCGCAAAGCTCCAGCGAGGTCGTCTCGCGTGCAGAAATACTAAAGTTCCCTCCACGCACCGGGGCAGCGGAAGCGTGGCGAAACTGACTGGTGAGATCGGTCTATTAGAAACATGGTGAGCGTCATCGAAAACCGCTAAATCAGTAATTTTCAGAGAGACACTGAGCGCGTGAGAAGCGCAGTAGTGCGCTACACTCTCAAGAAAAAAGGGTGTCAAAAGGTGTATTTTTACACCCTTTGTCCCATATAATACAACCCAGAATTTCAATTCGACGTACAGTGCCCTACAGTCGAACAGAGGGCCCGAAATTTTACGAGGGGCTTGATAGCCGTGTGGTACAACATTTTAAATAGCTAAAGTACGTATCAAAGACCACGTAAACAAAACACCGAGTGTTTACAGTAGGGCCAAGAAAACCCGGGTTATTTTTTTTTGTCTTCAGTAAAACGGTACATTAGCTATTTTAATAAGTTGTACCACACGGCTATCAAGCCCCTCGTAAAACATCGGGCCGTCTGTTCGACTGTAGGGCGCTGTATGTCGAATTGAAGTTTGGGGGTGTATTATATGGGACAAAGGGTGTAAGAATACACCTTTTGTCACCCTTTTTTCTTGAGAGTGTTAAATGTACGCATCAGGAGCGAGGCTTCCGGTTCGACAAGGCGACCGCGCGATTTTTCCGCCTCTTATCGTAGCCCCAGCCTTGTACCTGCTCCACGAGTCGTACCCTTAAGCGCGCTACTACGCTTCCACGCGCTCGAAGTATTTCTAAAAATGAGTGATTTCGTGGTTTTGGACGACTCCCAGCAAGTTTCTAATTGGAATGAAATGTCTAGTTTCCCTAATTAAAAAGTTTACTAAAAATTTTACTTGACTAGCCGATTGATCGTTACGATTAACCCCCTATACTCTGTCCCTCTGGTCGTGTAACTCATTTTCACAAACCGCATAAGTGTAGCGTTTACGGCTTTTTTAAAACAACTATGTAAAGTAAAAGAAAAGCCTGTATGTATGCTTCGAACAGTTGTGCAACGAGTTCTTGTATGACCGGTGTGATAGGACTGCAGCAAGGCATGTAGTTGGGCTAGTTGGTGGTACATAATGTTAGGAGGGAACAGCGCAAAAAAGGACGTAAGACGAGGTCGAAGCGGTGAGTGGTGGACTTCGACCTCGTCTTACGTCCTTTTTTGCGCTGTTCCCTCCTAACATTGTGATAGGACTGTCATACAAGAATGAAACGCGCCTGAGACAGTGTTTGCTGACTGTCTGTGTTGTGTTTGCAGGGCGAGCGCGGCTGGAACGCACCAATGAGCTCGAGGCGCTGTAGACAGAGTCGATGATTCCATCCAGCGCGTTGATCCTGAAGAGCGGCTTCATCTCCGCGTCTCTGGCGCGGAGCAGCTTGTCCTGGTAGGCGTCCTCCCAGGCGTACATCTTGACCAGGCGCACGGAAGACAGCAGGTCCGAGGTCTGCTTGAGGCGCTCGTCGCGCGCCCTCATCTGACGTCGCTGCAGTGGGACGCCGTTATAATTAGAACGGAGACTTTTCTTAGTTACTCGTACACTTTAAAAAATGTCTGTGTGGTGCCTACTTTCACGCACAACGCTCGGAGAGCCAATCACCGCAACTTACAGAGGCAGCTTAGCGAATGACGATGCGGAAACATATGTTTAGACCAAAAAACGCACTCCGAGTTGTGACTTTAAAGGGGCCATGAAACGAATTTTGGGTTGGGATGAAAGATTTTAAATTGGTACTTTACTAATCGCATATCGTTTAGTTGGCCAAAGGAAAGAGGCTAGAAAGTCAAAAGCCAGCTTTTCGGTACGAACATTTGAAAATATAGCGGACTATTTTGTACCTTCTTGCCTTCGAAAGCTCTCCGCCTTTTCACCATGATACATCCGCGGTTCCAAAAGCGCGTCACCGGCGCCAAACTGACGTCAGCAGAGCCCAGCTCACGCATTGGACACGAGAACTGCGTCATTCGTACGTATGCGCTCGTCAACAATCAATCCGCCGACGAATATTTGGATTCGCGTTCGTGGCCAATGAGTGCCCTGACGGAGCTTATCGTCACTGGGGAATGACAAGTTCTATGGTGTGCATAAAAAGCACGGTGAAAGCTAGGAGTCATCGCACCGGTGCTAAAGGAATGTCACGACCACGTAATTTCACAATTCGGATTTGAGTTGAGGATTAAGGCTAAGGAGGAAGAAGTAGGAAAATCGTTTCATGACCCCTTTAAGCAATGCAAAACGTCACGCTTGCATTGCTTAATGTCACAACTGACTGCGTTTTTTGGTCTAAACATATGTTTCGGCATTGTCATTCGCTGAGCTGCCTCCGTAAGTTGCGGCGATTGGCTCTCCGAGTGGTGTGCGGGAAAGTAGACGCACAGACTTTTTTTAGAGTGTAGATCTCAAAAAGCGCGGGGCGGGGCGAATGCCGAGCATCTGATTATCGATCAGCAGCCGATCAGATTGTGGCATTGGCCGAAAAGAGCGCCCCCACTAATCACCAGGTAACCGTCATCGACGACATAAATCACGCTCTAAACTCTAAAAAAAAGAAAAAAAAAAAATGTCCGTGCGTCTGTTTTTGCGCACAACACTCGGAGAGCCAATCACCCCAACTTACGGAGGCAGCCCAGCGGATGACGATACCGAAACATATGTTTAGACCAAAAAGCGCAGTCTGACTTGTGACATTAAGCAATGCAAGCGTGCTGTTTTGCATTGCTTAATGTCACAACTCAGAGTGCGTTTGTTTGGTCTAAACATATGTTTCGGCATAGTCACTCGCTGGGCTGCCTCAAGTTGCGCTGATTGGCTCTCCGAGTGTTGTGTGGGAAAGTAAACGCACGGGCTTTTTTTAAGGTGCTTTTCTTGAGCTTGATAGTGCACTCGATTTTTGTCTGTGTGACGAAGTAGACCCAAGTCCCTCCCCTCCCTCCAATGCTACATAGCTATAGAACGCTATCATTTTGTTGCATGGAAATGAGAACGCAGCGCCCGCCACCCGGAAGCTCAACTGACAAAATACGCACTATAAAAAAATTGTCGTAAAAGAACTTTTAGAAGTTCTTTGGCTTGTCCATATTTTGCACCCTAGAGAGGTATTTTCAGCACCCCCTAAAATTTTGCTTCGTGAAAAACGCACAAAGAGTTCTTTTAAGCTTCTTTTTTTGATGCGAAAGAGTTCTTCATCGCCCACTTGCCTCCCTAGTGCGTCAGAGAGCCATAGTGGTTGAGGCGGAACCGTTCCTCACAAGCTGAAAGAGTTCACGTGGCGTCAATGAACGTTTCAAGAACGGATTCTTTTTCTTAGAGTGTATAGCTATAGACCATTCTATTTAGCGCTCTCAGGGCGGCGCCATTTTGTTGGACCGCAGCGCCCTCTCCGCCAGCAGGTTCGGCGGGGTAAAGCGGGAGAGAGGGCACGGGCCGGATTCCGCTGGCAGACGACAAACCGCGAGCTTGCCGTTCTCCATCTTTGGGCTGTCTACGGCGGGCTGTACCGAACATCGAACTCTCGCCCTTAGCTGTCGTTGTGAAGTGGTTCGCGTTCTTAGAATATTTATAGCCATTCCAAAATCAGCCTGTAGCGCTCTCTTGTTTTATTTAAGGATCAATTAGCGTATCTTTGTTCCGTTATTTAATTAGCAGTGTTACCCCCAATCACCGCGCCTTTTGCGTGAGGAGAGCAGGTTTTTATTTGTTATTCCAGATTTCCACTCATTTTCGCTAAAGGCCTACAGCAGTACGAACTTCGTATATACAGAGCTATTGCAACCGGATTTACTTTTCGCCGGAGGACCGGCCACTTTATACAATTTTCCCATTTTTATTTTTTTTTTATTTGCACGCAAGTACCAGCACAATCGGACTTAGTTCTTTTGTCGAGCATAGCATTACACGATAATTTCCATATCAAAATCCGCGGATCTACGCTTGAAATGACCAAAATGACGCGATTTTAAACCAAGTTTGAACGCCATCCGGATGTTAGGTACAGCGCTCACTCGGCGGAGCAGACGACGCCGGGGTGAGAAGGGGAAGGCATTTTTTCTCTCTCTGCTCTTCCTAGTGGAACGGTCTACTCTATACAGTGAGGCTCATTAACAGAGGAGCGTTCACTTACGTTATTTTATACCACAAGGGAAGATTCGTTGTGTGCACAACTACTCCCTGAGATAAAAAAAAACACACACACACAGACAAAACATAGGTCTGCGTTGTGACGCTATGGCTTGGATGTTTGAGCATGCTCAATACCACGCTACAAGCTATGTTTTTAAGTCCTAAGCATACCTTCCGCTTCATTCAATCGCTGAGCTTCCTCCGTAAAATGCAGCGCTTTGCACTTCCAAGTTCTTTGAGGGAAAATAGGCATTTTATATTTCATAAACCGCAGTCAGGCAGCTCGAAAAACATGATGTCAGAAATATCTGCGGACATACATTAGTCATCTTAGAAGCACGTTCGCCTCATACATATGTGTGTTTCGAACATATCTGCAGACTGTGCTTTGTATGATCAACATAAGAGTACCGTCATATACAAGGAATTCCGAATGAACTCTAAAGTAGAAGAAATATATGCTGCATGATGTCAGAAATATCTGCGGGCATACCTCAAGAATCTTAGAAGCACGTTCGCCTCATACATATGTTTGCGTCGAACATATCTACAGACAGTGTTTTGTATGATCAACATAAGAGTACCGTCATATACAAGGAATTCTGAATGAACTTTAAAGTAGGAAAATATATATGCTGCATGATATTGCCTCACGCATGGTCGAGAGGGAACGTTTCTCCATACTTTTAGAAGATAACTGTTTACTCTTACGCCCTAATGAAATAGATAAGAAGGACAACATAACCCTCTCAAGTCAATCTCCCAAGTGTTCGACGTTCGAAATTTCTAGACCGAATGTTCGAGATACCGAGTGTAGTAGATAAGAAGCCCACAGAGTGGCCAGCTGCCACGCCGACACCGCGGCGCTCGCTGCTGCTTTATTGACGCAAATGATTTCTTTTGTTTGTGGCACCCCTACTAAAAAATTAGGCCAAAACTTCCAGTGACATCCGGTGAACTTCCAGTTACATCCGGTGAACTTTCAGTGACACCCGGTGAAAACTGGTTAAGTGTCACCCGTTTTCATTCGAAGCCAGCGTAGTTTCCCAGTCGTTGCTGGAAGATTTGCCGGAGGCTACTCTCGGTTAGGAGATTTTGCTGGAATTTTACCCGCAGCCACTTTCGTTTACCATTTTTACCGGAAACGAATTACTCGTTTCCCCGTCCACCAAACTTCACAGGAAACCGACGCGAAGGGAAGGAGAAGCCATACAAGTCCAAAGCCACCTAGAGGAGGAAAGCCTGGGGGCTCCCGCGATCACGTGGGTCTACGTCACCGCTACTCGGCCTACGGTTCGGCCGCGGTGTAGTTCCGTTCCGGCTCGGCAGATGGAGCCGGCTTGCTTCGGCGTCTTTCCAGAACGTTCCGCGGCTTCTTTCGGCGTGTTCGGAGACGCTTGGTTTTGTCTCGGCTGTTTTCTTTGTTTGTCTTGTTTTAAACGTCGCACAACTTGTGAGTGCTCTGCGTTTTGTGCGCGATGATCAAGTGCTCTTTCCGTCATGCCTGACAAATGCTGTGTGCCTCGGTGTAACGGTAATTACAAAACGGGGCCCAAAGTGCACGTGTTCGGACTCCCCAAAGATGAAGCGCTGCGGAGTGCCTGGATAAACGCCATCCCCCGAGAAAACCTGATCGTTTCCCAGAGAACGAAGGTGAGGAATTCCCATTTCCAATTGTTTATCTCGCATTCGTAGTGGCATAGCGCCATTTGGACGGGCTAGCAATAGAAGGGTTGTGGGAATAGGCGATAACGGCGACGTGTAGCGCGTTTAGTGGTAAGTCGCTATTATTTATACGAAGGGTATATATCTTTATAGGTGTGCGAGCGTCACTTCTCCGACGACGACGTTCTTCGGGAGGTGTCTCGCGTCGACGAAGTTACCGGGAGGACGGTGACTGCGCCGCTGTCTAGGGTGCGCCTTCGCCCAGGCGCAGTTCCGTCGAAGTTCCCTGGCTGTCCAGATTATTTGTCGAAGCACCATGCGAGAAGAGAAGACCCGGACAGCAAGTGATTGCGTCAAGAGGCTTCTGCAATGGAAAGAGCGCTTGCAGAGTCGATCGATTCATTTCGCAATGAGGAAGAAGCGGGCCGAATACTCAGCATAAAGGACTTGTCCGACCACTTGAAAAACGTAAAATCGGCATTCTGGCATGTTATTGAGGGCAATGGACACCTCACTCTGGTGCACATTGTTGAGACTGAGGCCCCTTGGATAAAATACTCGATCGTCGTGAAGCCTGACCTTACACTAACTCTACATTTTGCGAAGACTCAGGTCACAAGGTTGGGCTCCAACTTGCTCATACCAAGAATCGCAAACAGCAAGAGGGGAGTTGTAGAACTACTCGAAAGTGTCGAAAATTGGGACAACGATCTTGAGTCAAGCTCTGAAAGCTCGCACAACGATATCTGTGCCACGATTCGTTTTCTGCTTGACAAGCTGCCCGCAACGCAAAGCGAAGATCAAGCAGCGGTCATCCAACTGCTCGCCGAGCAACTGAAGCTGATTTCTTCCAAGAAAGAGCGAAGGCGTTATTCAGTGGATTTTATGGTGTTTGCATGCATTCTTTTCACAATATCGCCTCATGCATACCAGTACATCCGTAGCTCTGGAAGCATTGTTCTGCCACACCCTAGGACAATCCGATCGATATGCTCCTCGTTTGGAATGAGCCCTCAAAACGAGCAGCAAAGTTCAAGTTTTCTCAGCTACATGGCAAAGAGGATCTCTGACTTGAACGATGACCAACGCTATGTGACCTTGATGGTGGACGAGGTCCACATCAAACCGTTTTTTGATTATAAAGGAGGTAGCATTGTCGGTGTCGCACTTAATTCCACAGAAGTAGCGAATAGTGCGTTCGTGTTTATGGTGCAAAGCATCAAGTGCCAATTTAAGGAAGTCGCTCACGTCGTACCCGTGCACGGAGCCAACGCCGAGTTTCTGCACAAGTTGCTTAGAGACGTGATTTGCGGGCTCGAGAAAATCGGGTACCGAGTGATGTGCGTCGTAACGGATAACAACGCAGTGAATCGAAAGGCTATGGCTCTCTTTAAGAGCTCGATGGACAGCCACGACACGCCTGGTACAACAACGCGCAACCAGGACACGCCTGACACAACGATGCGTCGTTCAAACGAGTTCTGCTACCCACATCCGTCTGATCCCAACAGGCCGCTGTTTTTTGTGATCGACACTGTACACATAATCAAGTGCATACGCAATAATTGGCTGAAGCAAGACGATCAATGCTTCTGGTTCCCCGAGCTTCATGCTGACACGGAAGGCCAGCGGCGCATGCTGTGTGCGTCGTTCAAAACCATCAAAGCTGCCTACGACTTGGAATGTGACCAACTGCTGCGCTATGGATACAAAGTGTCAAGGAAATCCCTTTGCCCGTCGAGTATTGAGAAGCAGAACGTGAAACTTGCTCTCCAGATATTTGACAGCTCTCTTCCCAGTGCCCTCCATGCCATTGGAGAGAAACACAACCTGAAGTTTTTCAAGGAGACGGCCACTTTCATTGAGATTATAGTAACGTGGTGGAAAATTGTCAATGTAAAGACACCCGGCAAAGGAAGCAGGCTGAAAGATCGGTTCCAAGAACCTGTGCGCCCGGCTCCAGACGACGAGAAGGTAGATTTTCTCTATGACATTTTAGACTGGTTGGACGAATGGCAGAAAAATGCAAACAACTGCAAACTGACCGACAAAACTCATACCGCACTGCACCAGTCAACTTACGCGCTTCTCGAAATATGCAGGTACTGCTTCGAAGAACTCAACCTGTCCTACGTCCTCCTCGGGAAATTTCAGACGGACTGTTTAGAGGACCGCTTCGGAAGGTACCGGCGGCTGGCAGGTTCCCAATACCATATCTCAATACGACAGCTTTATGAAGGAGAAAACAAGCTTCGGCTGCAGAACACACTTGCACCGATTGGCAAAGCTTCTGAAACAGAGAGAGATGAAAAATGGGAGGAAATGCAAAAACGACGAGACGCGCCGCGCCCTAGCTACAACATAGTAGTAACAGAAGACTCCCTTTCAAAAATAAAAGACATCGTCCCCGTTCTAGCCTATATGGCAGGATATGCGGTGTACGCGACGGTGAAGAAGCTAAAGTGCGAGAACTGCAAAAATGCCCTGACAACAGACCACACGATCACAGCCGCCACCGGCCATGAGCACTATCATCTCATCAAAGAGATTGACAGAGGAGGCCTTCTGTACCCAGCAATGACCGCAGTCAATGCCGTCGCCTACAACTACGTTGTCGTGGAGGAAATGTCGAAGCGGGTGGACTTCTTAACGATGAGCAACCAACGCCAGCTGGTCACGGAGCTCACACTGGACTTGCTAGTCGACGAGGATTGCGACTTCGATGTGTGTGAAGAAGGACACACGAGTGAGGTCGTGCTGAAACATCTGTTGTGGTGCTCTACAAACATTCTACTAAAAAACTTTTGCCGCAAGCTCAACGACAAAGTTGTCGAAACGAACAACAAATCTAAGAAACGAAAACTGGCCACGTTAACAAAAAAAAATGATGTGGATATTCTAGCATGCACAGTGACAACCGTTTTGTTCGAGATTTCTAACGCGCGAGTCAATAAACACGCGTTTGTGCCGAAAAACTGGAGTAATTGCTACCCTTGAGCGCTGCTCCGCGGCGCGCTTCGGCTTCGCCTAGGCCGACTAGCGTGACGTCACGCGCGGAGAGCCCCGGCCTTCCGCTCTAGGTGGCTTTGACAAGTCCCCACGCACCCTTTCTCCCTCACATTGGGTTCGTGGGAAAAAAGTGAGGGGGTCTTTTTGCTTTTTTTTAGCCAGCAATGGTTACAAAAAGTCTCTCACTGTTGGCTTCCCGCTCCATATGTGCGACATGTATCTTCCAGAGCAGCTGAGTGTCCGAATAAAAAGAAAATGTCTTTCAGTGACCTGCTTCTACGTCTCTTTGTCCGTCCGGCTTCAGAAGCATCCAGCGAGCAAAAAAGACGGCAGAGACGCCTCTATGACGGCATCAGGGACGACACCGTGACTGCGCCCAAGATTTCTCAACGGCGGCGGATGTTCGTTCCACGCGTTCATGGTTTTCGTTAAGCGTGCTACTGACAGTGTGTATGTGTCCGCTCGGTGCACCCGCGGCGACGGCATCAGAACGACACCCTGTCTGTGCCCGCCATTTCTCAACTGCGGCGGATATTGGTGGCGCGTTCGTGTTTTTCGCTAAACGTGCTCCTGACAGTGTGTGTGTGTGTGTGTGTGTGTGTGTGTGTGTGTGTGTGTGTGTGTGTGTGTGTGTGTGTGTGCGTGTGCGTGTGCGTGTGCGTGTGCGTGTGCGTGTGCGTGTGCGTGTGTGTGTGTGTGTGTGTGTGTGTGTGTGTGTGTGTGTGTGTGTGTGTGTGTGTGTGTACCTGCTCGGTTTCATTAGTTAAACTACCGTACATCTAGAAGTTTACCCCGCGACATCGTGAGTAGCTTAAAAGATATTTTTTTGCGACAAAGAACTCAGTTGTTCCTGTGTGCACCTGATTGCTTCTGTCTACAGTTGTGCAAATTGTTTCACTGGTATCGACCCTGCAGATAAAGACATGGAACTTTGAGGCCTATATGGACTAACCGTTCTAATTGTTACCGAATCGTCCAGCATCTAGTGAACACACACCACCCACGGTTCACAGGCTTCATCTTAACGGCCTTCCGTTAACGTCCAAAAAAGAAAAAGAAAAAAAAAACAAAAAAACAGGGTAAGTTTTGGTGAATTGCGACAAACCCGGTGACTCCCGGTGATTTCAGGTAAATCCAGGCAAATCCGGTGACTTCCGATAAGTTCCGGCTTTAACGGAAGTGAACAGAGTTCTATAATCCAGTAACATAATTCTTTTACTGGAAATAAGATTCCAGTAAAAAATTCGGTGACTTCCGGTAAATTTGTTTATTGTTTGCTTGATTGCTGTTTTTTGTGCATGGCGGAGTGTGGGCTAATATATTGTCTCTATTCAACTTTTATATTGAACCCTGCAATAGGGTATAGAATTTAAGTTTTCCATTTATTTAATTAGACATGTTTTCTGCTGCTTTTCGCCATGGGGGCAGGACCTCGTCGTGCTACCAATTTGCAGGTTTGTGCCTTGTCTTCCCTTTTGTTTGTGAAGCAAAGGAAATTAATAATAATAATAATATTGATAATAATAGTAATAATAATAATATTTATTGTTATTATTATTATTATTAAATACGCATCAGACGGTGTCCACACATACTGTCTTTTGTATAATATATTAGAAGAACGACAACGGCTTTAGAGTGCTACCAAATACTTTACTGGGACAACTACATCATACTCCGCTAACTTCCATTAGACGGCGCGCCTCTGCGCCACTTTCTCCCCTGGCAGTTTGGACGTCTCGCTGGTTTGATGTGATCCCAAATTTCTAAATTTCATTAGATCTTCCGACTTTTGCTGTTTTATTTAAACTGTTGTGTATTAAGACGCTTTACATAATATGTGTTTCCCCAAACATCTTTTTGCTCTAAAAACGTTTAGGGAACAAGCTATGAGACATATGGAGCAAACACATGCATCGACCGAACGGCGTGCGGCGCGCGCTTCGGCCATCGGCGAATGCCTTATAACCTCGACTTTCGTGGCAATAGGGGGCGCCTCTCACCACTCCCAACTCAATGGGGAAAAACCCGAGGTTGCTGGTCATACAGCCATTCTAACTGCGGCAAATCTCTCCGCGCCGAGGCCATTGTGTTATTGGGGAGTAGGATATATTCTCCCTTAGTAGAGCATTTGGTGCTACGACAAGTGGAGGCTCCGCTCACCCAGAGTGCGTTCTGCAGCCTGGTGACCGGCACCAGCAGAAGCAAGGCGCCAAGGAGGTAGGCGCCACAGCACAAGGTCGGCATGGCACCCACCCTCTCGTAGAGTAGATAGAGCAGGACGGGAAAGCACAGCGTCCCGCACAGGGGGTAGCAGAAGCTGTAGCAGGCCAGCGAGATCTGCACGCAGTCCACTCCCAGGATGGACAGGACGTACCCCGGCGGGTTGGCGGCCCTCGCTGTCGGAGACAGCAACGACATCTGAGAAGAAAGTAAAAAAATGAATAAAATGAGGGCAGTACACGGCGCAGTGCCGCATCAGATGTGTTCTTCTCTTAACATCTACGGGCATTAACGGCGCAAAGCTGCGGTCCCACTGTTATACAAGGGACAGTCTGCAGAAATCGTCTCAGGTGTATTTCTTCCTTGTGGGACGGCCCTTTTACAGTCGCGCAGCTGGTGCGACATACAAAGAGACCTGCAGCAGACATATTGACAAGATGTTCGAAGGCTTCGTACATATGTACGCTTAGGAGCTGCCCGCAGACATTTGCTATATCACCAATGTGACAGGATGGTCTTACAAATACCCGCTTTACACGCTGTCTGCAGAGGGTCATTCGCGCGATGTGCTTGAAACGTTACCGAAGCTTTACTTTGGTCACGACAAGACTGTTCGCAGACGTGCTTGAAGCATGCATATGCACGAAACAAACAGGCCTCGGACATGCTTCAGGCGAATCCGCAGGTACTTTTCCGAGTGTCTTATGATCATTCCGTAGCCAATACGGATCGCTAGTTCGTCTTCCTCTTGCACATGGTTTGCGATGATGTTAGGACGCTGAGCTCTTCTTAGCTGATTGAAAAATAAATAGTGGGTAGACCTCAAGGCATCTAGCGTTGAGGTCTATCCACTCTTCTTTCTATCAAAGCCAATCAGAGCTCAGCGTCTTTCTGACGTCACCGCAACTCCTGCACAAGAAGCAGACGACTTGCACTCCGCGTATGGTTCCGGCCAGGGGGGTTTTCGGGGACAACGGCGGCCATTTTGAAAATGTCCATTGTCTTATTTTCGCCTATGAATCATGTGCATCGGTGGCATATAATGGAGAGTTATAGCAAACCGGAGAACCGGTCCCGGTTTGGTACCCGGTAGCCGACCGGTGCCACTGCGCGTGCGCAGAGGTGGAGATTAAAATCGGCTGGCTGCAAGTGCACCGACCAGGGCCGTACCCAGAAAAAAATTTCGGGGGGGGGGGGGGGGGGTCAGAACCCCCTATCCTCCCCCCTCCCCTGGTTACGGCCCTGGTTCCGGCACCAGGCGTCAAGACGGTGGCATGCCGCTAGGAGCGCTCCGGTTTGTTTGTGCACATGAGTTGGTGTATGGAGTAGAGGGACTCTTTGTTTCTTACCTTCTTGAATATGGTTCCCCGCAAGAGAGATAATATACGGTTGCCGAAGATCGACGTCAGTTCATTCTGGTAACAGGTGGCGAGCCATTCAGCGGCGCTGGTAGCGATGTATAGCAGCACCGACACGAAGCGTTCTGTAGCGTCACAGCTGTCGATGATAAGTCTGCGAGACGAAAACGACCTTGTAAATTCCGTCTCGCATTTCCTTTGTACTTACTATACTTCATTTCACCTTACGGACGATGTTATGAGCCAAAGGGACAATCAAACAGCGCAAAAAGCGCAACGTCATGGAGTGCTCTCTGTGCTTGATAGGACTAGCCGGCGGAGGAGCACGCACAGAGAGGCGGCGAATACCGGCTAGTCCTATCAACTGCAGAGAGCACGCCATGACTTTGTGCCTCTTTCGTGGTTTAATTAGCCCTTCGTCTACTAACATTGACCGCGCTCGGATCTAAGCTGAAACAAAGTATACACTTTCAAAATTGTATCGCGTCTACATTGACGCAAAACACCCAAGTGAGCGAGTTGTCGCAGTCTGCGAGCTAGGCGAATAACGAGGCTGAAAATATATTCATACTTCGTTTCAGTGCGAATCCAGACAGAGCCAACGCGGCAAACTGATGGGACAAATCAAGCAGCGTCAAAAACGCAAATCACTGTTTGTTTATGTTTATGATTGGTTCGACGATCATAGAACACGTACAGAAACATGACGAACACCATGAGAGTGCGCTTTTCACGCTGTTTAATTGCACCCCTCAGCTCGTAGCGTCGACTGCTTCTGGACTTAATTGATGTGAAACCAAGTATAGGACCTAAAACAAAACAGTCTGCGCTATGACATCGAGCACAGCGAAACGTCATGCTCAGCGCCGAAGTCCACGATGTTTATTCTTTAGGTCTAGACCTATCTTAATTATGCAGTCATTCGAAGAGCTTTCTCTGCAATTTGCAGCGTCCGGCTCACACAAGTATTTTGCGGGAAAGTAGAGTCTTTAGGTTACTCAGAATGTGGCTACTATAGTGCCTGACAACTTAAAGGGACACTGGCACCCCGCCCCTCCCCCCCTCCCCCTCCCCTGGCATCCCTTTTTTCATAGGCGATTAAATATGGTGTCCAGGAGGAGACTACCCGATCAGTATTCCGCTACAGAGTCGCGTATATTTTTAATAAAGCCCCCAAAAAAAAAAAAAAAACTCAATTGCTCAAAACCGAAACCGAAACACGTGCTCAAGCCGAAAGCCACGTGACTACACAAGGCCGCGTATTTTTTTTTTTTTCTTTCCACTTCTCCGGCGTGGGAAGCAGAGGACGGCAACAATGAAGTTACGTGCTCCGTTTGTCGTGCAACTTTTCGCACTTATATCCCTTCCGCCCGATGTTCTGCGCGTAAAAATCGATTGCCCGGTACCACGAACGACAGTTTCAAGATAGTGACTCCACGTCCGTCGTGCGCTACCACCAAGTCGTCCAGCCCATGTTACGCCGCCATGTTGACAGTGACGTGTACATGTACTTCCTGTGATCTGTGCAACATCTTTTATTTTTCGTTTGTTTTCAGTCAACGTATTCGCAGCTTCTTGAAGGCCACGAAAATAAGGTTCACATTCTTTTATATTTTTAATATTGAATTGGTTTGGTGTCTTAGATAACCCACAACTTTGAATATATTTCGTACATATATTTTGAACGCCATCCATGGGAAAATAAAAAGAGAGTGAGTGCGGCCGAAACCGGCCAATTTCCGACCGACTTTTTTCAGGCGGAAAGAAACCGAATTTCGACCTGCAAATTGTGTTCTGGATACTTGAACTCTTATAAGTCATGTTTAAATAAAAGCATTGACAGGCATAAATTACCCTGTCGGCGTCCCTTCAACAAAGGCGGGGTGTTGGGATTCCCGTGCGTTTTACTATCACTAAGTATAGCCCATGAGACTGGGGCATTAGCCCATAAAAACGACGAAGAGCGAATCATCGAGCAATAAGCGTGAACGAAGTATGCCAGGTCGGTCTCGCCATTCCTAATAGCTGGCAATGACTATATAGTTTTATGCAGGCTTTTAACGAATTGTGTTCGTAGAAGGCCAGCCTCAAAGTCCGTGGCAGTGTCGAGTCGTTATTTCGAGATATCGTGAGAGGGAAATGTTATGTACGATAACACTCGCGTTAAGACATCGTGGGAAGTGGTGCTGCAAACCAGAGACAGCTGTAAAAAAAATGTAAGAAAGCATTAGACGTAGAAGGACAAAGGAAAAAAAAAACGGACAAGATGTGCTGTCTGTGTTTATGTCCTTCCGTGCTTAATATATACATATTCTTAATTTTCTACACTATACCAACGCGCTCACCTCAAGAATCGGATACAGAATTGGGCTATAAATAGCCAAATTGGGCTAGTTTTATTTGCAGTTGGCGGGAAAAAATGGTAGTTGGCTATTTGGCTAGTATTGGGCTATTTCTAACTATTTCTAACCTGTGCACTGAGCAATTTCTGACCTGTGCTGGAACCAACTGCCTGAAAGCACTTGGGTTTATAGGTTTGAATGTATTTTTAGAATAAGTTACGTGAACATTTGGCGCTTCAGTCCCTTAACCCTGATAAGTGAGCGACAGCAAACTAATTCGTCTTCTTTTTGCGCGCTTTGTGCAATTGTTTACCTCCGAATGCAAGCATGTGCTGTTATTCCTCCATCTCAACAAGTGACGGCGCGATTCCTTGCGGCCTTAACAGCACCTGTTCTGCGCATTCTTTATGTTGTCTGAATTCTGCATAGTTCTCCCGTGTCATGCGCTCGTACGAGCGTTTGAGGAAGTTCGCCGAACGTGCAAGGGACGCCATTTCTGGGGCATTTGATGGATAAAAATGTATTATGTGTCTTTTCTGCTCAAAATAAACGTTTCAAATGACAAGTTTTTTTTTGGGGCTATTTTTGGGCTATTTTTCTGGATCGACATTTGGCTATTTTTGGGCTAGATCTCGTAGACGTTTGGCGGGTTGGAGTTCAAACACCTGGCAACCCTGGTGTAGTGACGATGCTCTTTTGCCACTGGTTGATTGGCACCATCAGATCATTGCTTCGGCCGCCCTTAGTGTGAAACAGAGTATGGGGAATTGTAGTAGACCGTTTCCGCAGCCCGCTAAGCACCCGGATAGCGCTCCGTAATCCGCCACAAGACCTTGAACAATGCAGAGAAAGCTGGCGGCGCGCATGCTCAGCTGCGGCGTTTTCTTCACGGATACCGTAGCGGAGGAGAAAAACGGTCTATTACAATTCCCTAGTATAGGAGGTATTCGTGCGTCGTCACCAGGGAGAGCTGTGAGTAAACCAAACTTAGCGTTTGCCACGCTATCCGCAGCTTGGACTGGCGTGACAGGAATCCGGTCAATGGTCGCTGCCATCATGCACGGGCTCACCTCAAAGCACGTAGGTATGGCCGCCAGTGAATGCACCCCATAGTGTTCGAGATGAGTACACGCGCCAATTCCCTGACCGCCATCGAAATGCGAAAACACTCACTCCATCAGAGGGATCTTGATGAAAAGGCAGGCGAAGTAGACGAACGTGCACAGCAGCATTCTGAAGATGTCGATCCAAAGGATGCGCAGAACGGCGACCGCGAAGTGGGCTCGTCGTCGCACGTTTTTCCTGCAGAAGTCACACATTTTTGTTAGGGTGAAACAACTTGCCGCAAACTAAACACAAAGTTACACTGCTGGCACACTACACAAAAGACAGGGTGTTCGTTGTCAGTTCGAAGCATATTGACTTCGTACTTATGCATACTTCAAACATGTCCGCAGGCAGTGTTTGTATGACCGATGGGAACGGGACCGTTCATTCAAGGACGAAACACGCCTCAGACAGTAGGGAGTTTTAGGAAACCGTTTTTCTACTTCCAATACGGTACCATGAAACCTCCGGTACGGTTCCCTAAAACTGTCTAGTGCCTGCGAACTGACTTTTGCATGATGCATTAGAAGGGCGGCCGCGGCTTTAAGTTAAGGCGGGTTCACGCATACACCGAGCTGACTAGGACGCAACTTAGCACTTACGCAGCCCCGTATGTATTAGCGCTGTATCACTAATACAGCGCTGAGTCACTGCCGCGTCAGAAAGACGCTATCTTTAGCGCTCACTGAAAGCATTGAGGTGCTGTGGTGTATCCGTGAACAGGCCATCAATGATTACTTCAGTCGCGAAGTGGAAGCTGGTGCTGCAGAGTTGCATATCAAGGTGGAACTGTCTCGCGATTCGTTAGTCCCAGGATAGCAGTCGTACCGCTCCCCCTTACAGCGGCGTGACAGGCCGCTTTAGGTCACGGCAGACTGCGCGCTATCTAAGGATTCCAACCACCATTTCGACTGATCACTTGGGTGGGCCACGAGGATGAAGCGAGCGAGCAGTTTTGAGAAAACGTCAAGTTGTAACGATGTCTGAACAGCGGGTTTGGTGCTTCGACCATAGAAAGATAACTGCGCCTGCGCAGTATACGACCGCTAACCTGGCTTTTTTAACTCGCGCGGTTGCGACGATACGAATGCGTGCTGGCAGAGAACACAGTCCATTGATGAGAAAACGAAAGGACATATACACCTTTCCGAAAAACACTCGACCCCAGGGGCAACAAACCGTTTTCGAGCACAGTCACTGAGTTTGAGGCTAGACTCTCACCGGCGTCCCTCCTAACCCTGACCGAGGGGACTGTGATTTCAATAGGAAGTATTCACTGGACGCCATATTTGTGGGTGCTGTTTAGAGCGCATGCTCAGAACGAGCTCACATCTATAGGTTGCTAAGACCGGCACTCTCGATGGTGCGGAATGCACGTTGCAAAAGAACTGTGGAAGCTCGCCATCAGCACGCGCTCTGAATTCGCGCACACAGATATGGCCGCCAGTGAATACTTCCTATAGGCGCAGCCTGCGTAGGCGCAGTTTCAAACGCTGCTGGCGGCTAAATTCTCGTATTTTCCCGCTATATTTTGTATTTCATGGTACATGTATGTTCCCGAGGACATTGAGAAAGCATTGTGCCACATTTGAAAAAACGAAAAAAGCAAAAAAAGCTGTAAACTATATTTGTTGGGTACGCGTGCGGCAGAACGAATGCGACTGGAATGTATAGTTCTAGTTATTTGTTCTCTTTCTTACGATAAGTTTTGACGGCGCTGCGGGATTCGCCGCATGTGAAACGACAAAGCGCTTTGCTGTCAAAAATAAATTGCAACAGAAGAGAGCGGAAAGTCATGCATTTTTCACGCTCACAAATAACGTGTTTACCGATGGACAGGACACGGACATACAATTGTGGAAGTGTTTACGTTCGAACTATATATTGTACGTACCACACGATGCAGCGTTATCCGAAAAGAATTTATTTGAGAAAGATCTTAAATAACACAGTCACAGTCGACGACAGTCACATCTTGACGATCGGATGGAATCCGAGATGACTTCGTTTTGGGGCACGTTTTGAGGAGAGCTTCCTTTTTTCACAACCGCACCAAGGCAAAGAAACAAACGCGACTGACCCGTTTCTCACCCCACCCCGGACAACTATTTTTGGAGATGACTGAGGATTCTACGCGGATTATCTCTGCACTCTAAGAAAAAAAGGGTGTAGACGGGTGCATCAGGCGCTCATGCACCCTTTACCTGAAAGACGCACCCTCCGTTGAGCAGCCAGTGTGCTTTTACACCGACAATGAGCATCCCCCTCTCCCTTAAAAACATCTGGGTGTACCAATGCACCGCCACGCTAGCCACGCGCCCCGATCAGCTTGTGCTTGGATTCCCTCTTGGGGGTCACTTTTTGGGTTGGGCAGTTTCTTAGGAAGTATGGAGCTATCCTGTTCCCTCGGTATTGACAGTAGAGTGGACGCTATGCTTGTTTTAGGCCAATCGGGTCTCCGGGTAGGATCACATGACTACAGTCTCCAAGCTAAAGATAAGCCTTTGCGAGGCTTATCTTCATTATCCCTTTTGGCCTTGAAGGAGCTGCAATTTTCAGACTCATTTCTTTTTCTTTCTCTCCCTAAGCTGAAAGCATGGAAGAAGGCGCGCAGTTAGCGGACTAATGAAGCGGAGGCTTTTTTTATGCCTCGACTTCTCTGTCTGAGCGCGGATAACGGCAGGAGCGTGATCATGTGGTAGAGGTTTCACGGATCACGTAGTAGCTTTTTTCGACCTCGGAATGTCTGCTTCCCGGCATAGGTAGTTGCTTGTGTGCTGTGCTGCGACCAGCGGGGCTGCCGTAGATTTCGCCCGCGACAACGTATTCGAGTGTACCAAGATTTCCAGTGTTTGAAAAGTCCTACGCGTATATCGGCAACAGGGGATTTCTTCAAAAAAGCCCAAGGAATTCATGTGATGTGTTCGGTGTTCGGTTCAGCAAATTACTGCTTCTGCCACATCGTGTTGAATCTTCACGGACCCCTTTCTTTTCGTTTTTGTGTTTGTGTGGTTCTGCAGTGCCCGTGTCGACATATATACCGGATTACATAACTCAAGTCCGGTATTTTCATCGTAAGTGCACTGCAACCTACTCCTTTGCAACAATTGACCGCTTTGTTCCGGATTACCTCTAGAATTAGGCAGTGTCTATTTTCTAGCAGCCGGGAGAATAATTTCCCCGAAATTCTATCGGCAATCACCTGCCATTAGCTGTCTACAATCATGCAACGACTGCATGTGGAATACTGACTTTCTTATTCTCCTGGCGTTTTGTGAAAACACGTTTTTGTCGATACACGTTTTGTAGACACGTTTCATCGACACCAACGTTCCATCGTCACTCGTTACGCAAAATGCACGCTGTAGGAACATTTTGTCGCGCGTGTATCTCTGAGGCGCGTGCTCACCGACCCAGCCCAACCGTTCGCGCCACTTCGTGGCGATAGTCTGCGGCGGCTCATTACAAAAATGTTAACCCACCTGTCCCACCCATACACGTCATTTCGCGGATACATCCTGGGGCGGCTCATTACAAGAAAAAAAAGGAGAGAAGCTAATATGGAAAAGCTAATCTGAGCTGTCGATAAAACGTCGTTCGATGAATTAAAGGCGACTGCCGGTGGAATTGTGTGGAAATAATTCTACCGGCTGCTGGCAGATTGGACACTACCCAAGACTCACTCCGGTTCTTGTTGGTTTAGTAATCATTTCAGTTGTGTAACAGCTTCTTTGTACGTCTTCAGATATCACGGATTGCTTGCAAGTTTGTACCTGTTTACGGAATAGGCTGTCTAATAAACTTCTATGATATTTGAAAACAAAACCGTGTGTCCGTTTACCTGCCTTTTTGAAATCACCGGGGCCCACACATTTTTTACTGTTTTCCTTGATGTCCTAAGTAGGTTTATGAAGTCATGAAATGGGTGCATAAAGTGGTGTGACCATGCACCTTTGAATCGGGTGCATCTGTGTTCTCTCCGAATTCAGTGAGTGTAGAAAAAGGTGTAACAGTACACTATTGAACGGGGTGCTCCTGTGTTCCCTTTGAGAGCAGTAGGTGTAGAAAGGAGAGTAATGGTACACTATTGAGCGGGGTGCCTCTGTGTTCCCTTTGAGTGAGGCGGGTGTATGAAGCGGTGCAATGGTACACCATCGAATGGGGTGCATCTGTGTTCCCTTTCATTTCATTGGGTGTAGAAAAAGGTGTAGCCGTACACCAGTGAATGGGGTGCACCTGTGTTCCCTTCGAATGAGATTTCTGTAGAAAAAGGTGTACATGTGTACCACACCAATGGGTGTACACGAACTCTCATATTTGGGGTGCACTTGTATTCCCACAAAGGGTGTAGTATATGTGACAAGCACTTACACCCCCTATGGGTGTACCCCATGACACCCTTTTTTTTTAGAGTGTGGGAGGGGGGAGAACAATGTTCACAAAATTGCGTCGAGGGTCGTTCGACGTCCTTCACCTCCTTCATTTCCCGTGAATGTCGAACAGAAAAGCTTGAATGGTAGGCACTCACCAGCCTTATTTCTCACCATGGAAAATAACACAAAAAGGGTACGCCGCACGCATAAAAAAATTAAGTGGAAACTTCAAGAGAGGCGAGAAAACGTCGAATGAAAAACCGCCAAAACGTAGGTAGAGAACCGCGCTGAGCGGGTCTTCACAGTCCCAGAGAGTGGCAGAAAATCTCTAGCTGATAGAGGGCGCGAGAGTCGCACCAGCCGCGTCAGCATCGGCAGCATGGCGGGCATGGTGTATACTTCTACACTGTACTTCTACACCGAGCAACACTGGCGGACGCCCTATTTTGGGCATCCGCCTCCTGCGCGATGCGTGCGATTGGATACGAATTCACTCCGATCGCCGACGCAACGCTCGAGTCGAACATAATTCGGACCCGTGTACGCGCCGAACCTTCGCGCAGAACACGCATCCAACACGCGCTCAGAGCGCCCCCTTCCCCCCCCCCCCCCCCCCCCTCTCCCAAACAATGACAATTCGCGCATCAGCTATACTACAGATGGCGCGCACTTCTGAAAAGGGTCTATCAAGGTGGACTGCCTCGTTACTCGGTTAAGCTCTCCATCACTCGAGGGGATCTTCGAAGGTTTTTCTTACCTCAGAAGGGAATGCAGCGTGTCGACCACGCCGCGACATCGTAAGCATCCGGACAACTTGGGAAGGTCGTCGTCCGTTGGCT